TAAATTCGTATCATTAGAAAATAAATTATTATCATTATTATCATTATCATTCAACATTTCATCATTATGAACTTATTTTTCAAAAAAATCTAGTGCATACAGATCTTTGAGTTGCTTTCCACTTCTCGAAGTGGTCACCACTTCTACATTTTCAAAACCTTGAGATGTAGATGGTTCATGGCTATTAGAAAGTTGATTTCATGGGTTCATGATCAATTGACTAAGAAGATGACTTGTTTCACATTTTGAATGGGTCAAGGCTAATTTACCCATCTCTTTTTCTAGTCTAAGGGTTGTTTGCTAATGTTTTTACTTAATTTACTCCATCATCTTCATCATAGATGTATTTATTTCCTGAAATTATTACATCATTTATCCCATAAACTGTTGCATTGAATTTGAATTCATATTAGATTGATTTTGATATGAATTAGGATATTGTGGGCTGGAATCAAGGATTAAACTTGAAGAAGAAGGGGTAAAATTGTGGACTTGTGGCTGATGAGTACCTTGTAGGAAATTATGAGTGTTTTGATGAAAAGGGGGCTAAGATTTATATTGTGGTTGATGAGGAGGTTTAAATGTATGATTTATATGTAGTAAATGATCATATAAAATATTCAACTTTTCATGAACCTCACTAACTTCATTTCCAATATCTAATGCATCATGATTTCTAACCTCAAACATTCCTCTTTTATTTTCATTATTTTTGCGATTATATCAAGCAAAAGATTCACATTTAATAGAATTTTCACTTAAATTTTTATATAATTTATAAATTTCATCCTCATCCTTACTCATGAATGTGTCTCCACTTACTACATCTCTAGTATTTTTGTGTTGTTCAAGTACACCATCATAAAATACATGATTTAATTATCATTTGGTAATTCTATGATGTGGACATCTCCTTTGAAGCTCCTTGAATCTTTCCAAAGATTCATGCAAGGCTTCTCTTAATTTTTGAGTAAATTAGATAATGGCTTTCTACTGGCATAAGTCTTGCCAATGGGATAGAATTTTCTCAAAAATACTTACTCTACTTCTAACCATGCGGTGATCTCATGTGGTAATGATGTGAGCTAGTCTCTAGCTTTATCATGCAATGAATATAGGAAGAGATGTAACCTAAGTACATCTTGAGGAATATTAAGAATATTAATAAGTTCACATGCAGCTAAAAATCGAAGAATATGTTGATGTCGTTCCTCATTAGTTAACCCATGAAATTCAGGAAGTATCTGTAGAGTGCTATGAAAAATATCAAAATGAATATTTGGCAAAATAAGAGGTCTAACCTGCAAAGTAGGTCTATCTAAATCAGGTGTATAATAATCATGCATAGGGTTATAAGGTTGAGTATTTTTAACATTCTCACTCTCTTGGGTTGGATGATCCATCCTAAGTAATTCTACTTCGGTAGAAGATGAATTTATTCTTTTTTTTATTGTTGGAGTCTCTAATATGGGTAGTAAATTTTATTTTTCTTATGCCCCTAAATTCTTAGATTGGTTGGTAATTGAGTTTTCTAAGATTGGTTGCAAGCTACGTCTACCATTCATAAATCAGGTTTTTCAGAATTTAAATCTAGCAATGATCATGACATTAATATATGATTCTAATGAATATGTCAAAGAGAAGTATAGAATTAATGTGAAATCTAAAATATTCAAGTAAATAAATAAATAGAAACTAAAGATTTAAAATTCTAACTTATGAAAGAAAGAAATCAAATGAGCCTAATAAACCTTTTTTTTTCAAAATACTATTTAAACAAAATAATAAATAATGAAAATTATTTTTTTCCTAAAATCACTGAAATATAAAAAACTAAATCAATTAACACCGATTAAAAACATATCTCTTTGGAAATGATGCCAACAAGATGTTGTACACTTGTCGTTGTGTTTAAAGACACATTATCTCATAATATTTATAACTAAAACTTAATAAAATATTAATATAGAAGTAAGACTTAGGTCGAACACAAGGAGATTGATTAATTCGTTGTGACAACTAAGTTAGTTTATATATAAAGTGATTTTAATATTTTATATTTATTTAATAAAAATAATAGAATAGGGTGAGGTGAGAAGAATAAAGGAAAGGAAGCGGAGAAAGGAAAGAGGAAAAAAGAGAAAATAGAGCTCTCATGAGAGAGAGAAGAGGTGAGATCTCTTGTGAAAGAGAGAAAAAGAGAAAGGAGAGAAATTTTACGTGAAACGGAGAGAGAGAAAAGTCTCATGAGAGAGAGAGAGAAGGATAGAGAAGGAGATCAATCAAGAGAGAGAAAGAAAAGGAGATCAAGAGAGAGAGAGAAAGAGAAAGAGAATAATTGAGAGAGAGAGGGAGAGAAAGAGAGAGATCTCACAAGAGACAAAGAGAGAAGAGAGGTCTCACAAGAGTGGGAAAGAGAGAAATAAGACGAAAATGAAGAAAGAGAGAAATACAGTCAACACATTCATGGTGACCATTATTCTCGAACAAATGTGTGTTCAAGAATTCACACACATGACATGACGTCAGCCATGAATGTCTTTAGTTTGTTTTAATCATTGAACACTCATTAATCAATCTTTAATCTTAATGATTTCACATTTGAAAATAGAAAAATACTTGTTATTTGCATAATGTGGAGAACATGAGTACGTTGAGATTCGATTGTGAAAATCAATAAAAAATAAGTTTAAAATAATTTTAGCTTAATCTAAAATGAGTTTCGAAGGATTCAGATGAAGAACGAAAACCATTCATCAAGTTTTGAATTAGTTATACTCATTTTAATCAAAACATACATGAAATAGAAATAACTTACCATAAATAAATGATAAAAGTAAGTAAGTAAATGGTCAAATTAGGTAATAAATCATTGCCCAAGTTTAGTCTGCCTCTTAGACAATTGAAGATACTAGTATAATGGCTTGATTTTGTCCAAATGTGCTACACCATGCCAAAAGTCATAAAAGTATCGTCTGGAAGTGATGTGCTACTTGCTGGAGAGATCCATCGAAAGAGGGGTCAACCATGCTGTCACTGTCATCTGGGGAGAGAAGGGAAGAGTTAACAACTCACTGAAGGCCTTTAATGTAGTCGGAGAATGAAGGAACAAGCTTTGCCAATCGCCAAAGGCATTGATCGTGCAAAAAGAGGGAGGAAACGGATTGCCATATTTGTGACTATCATTGGAATTTTAAGGATAATCGATAATATATGTTTTATCAGATCATAATTGATTATTATCTTTATATCCCTAATGGTGATACATGTGAGAGCTTAAGTTTCCAGTATCATGACACTTCGTGAGCCGCTAGATCAAATGTGCTTGGTCACGTGGTGTGTTGAGTGATGCAAGATCAACTGCCCACAAATCGCTACTGATCGAGAACTTAAGTCTCTAGTACTATGACTACTCCTTAGCTGTCGGATCATCCTTTAAGGTCACATGCGTGCTGAGTGGCGTTGGATTCGCAAACCATTGATGGATCACTTTACGCATCTGGTATTGTGGTAGCTCGCCAACAGCAGGATCTGACTCATCTGATGATGTGGTTCGCTAAATATCGTTAGATCACACCATGCTCTAGATGGCTGCCTTGAGACGGATTAGAACCTTTAGCCCCACATCAGAAATATTATGGACGCATGAGCTGAATATAAATCAAAGCTACTGCATGCCATCAAAGATCCCTTCTCCCAAAATAAAATAATGTCTAAGACCATTTTGGGAGAAGATAAAAAGGTGGTCCACCCTCATGCACGCACATGTGTACAGATACTCCTTGCCCCACAACCGGTTTGCCACCGGGATGTAGAAGTGGAGTGACATACACATGTGTAGAGCAAGTCCGCCATTTGAGCCCAACTCATGGCTCCCCCAATCTAGGTCTACCCACTCGACCACAGTGTCTCTCTAGGTCAGCTGCCGAGTGACAGCTTGCCAGTAGGCAGAATGTTTTTTTATATTATATTATTTTATATTTCTAAATAATCTAAAATTTTGCTAAGTATTTTAACTTCAACCTTCTAAAATTAACAATATATCTTAAATTTATTCTGCAAGTTAACAAAATAAAGTAAAATAATAAAACTAATTAAAACACAAAATTCTAGCTTTAACAATAACCTTTGTGGCTATTGCTCATTTGAAACTCTCTTTACGATAGTGCCAAGCTGATTTTGATGAAGGAGATTCTCTAGGTCAAGGCCATATCAGTTATTTCTTAAGAGGCTGAACAAGCCCAAGCTTTTGCTGTTCCAACCGAAAACCGAGCAGATCACACCTACATGTAGAGGCATTGTGGAAAGCCAAAACATTCTTATAATGCCCTATCTTCAGTTGTGATGGTGTCCCCTTGTATCAGCTAGTGGATAGATAGAGATGATCTGAGGATTATAGTAGGCTGTGGACAGGAATCTTCTTTGGTAAAGTGTAAACATATTAATTGAGACATTTGGATAAAATTTTCATCTTACGATTTTATAAGCAAATGTTTATTAATCAGAATATTCATATGATAGTTGGCTCATTGATATTAAAAGTAGGCTCATGGTTCATTTACTAAACAAGAGAGGCCCACACCTCCTACATGTACTGAACTAAAATAGTAAACTTTCGTTTTGAATGTTTATCTATATTTGTGTGACAGTTTTCTATGGAAGCTACCGTTGATCATCCAAATCGACTCGCTTTCAACCAAATATGACCCAGAACCTTCCTTCCTCGGTCCCAACCTTCTTCGCAGTGGTTCAGCGTCCAAAAGAGTGAAGGGATTCGTTGTTTTTCCCTCTCTGATCTGACTGTTCTTGTAAGGTGAGAGGCTTTAACGCCAACTCACTATCCGCAATCAAGAATCAGAAGAAACGACTCGCTGAGCACCCACTGACATAGATTGTTCCGGATTTATGAAGATTATGTAGATCACAAGAAGTAGAAGTATAAAACGGACCGCTGAGCTAAGACACCTCATATTCAACGGGTTTATGTCAGGCTCTTTGGACTAATGCGAAAGGGAACTCAAGAAGGATAGAACGGCGAAGATCGTCTCGGTAAGCGTGAGAAGGAGAAGAATGGCTGCAGCCATAACCGGGATGAATGTCCAAGGGCTGCGGAGGTAGTCGTGCACCAGCTCCGCCTTCCACTTCCGATGTCTTACCTTGCAGTATTCCTTCACGTCTACGTAGAGCTTCCCCGTGCGATAGGTGAAGATATCCTTGCACAGGTTGTTGAAGAAGCTGGCGGCCTCCTTGTCGCTGCCAAGCCCGCTGAGCAGGACGCCGCTCCGCCTCAGCACCGCCACGTCCACCGGCGTGTCAATAAGGAAGTCCATGAGCACGGCGTAGCTAGATATTTCGTCCCCGGCCGCTGGGAAGCACTGTTCGAAGGCGATGAGGTTTCGCAGATGCGAATCGGTGTGGTCGTAGATGCTAAGGGGGGCCATGTGCATCACTCCGTCGGTGAATGCCGCTTCAAGGACGTGGGCGCCAGCCTTCTCTCTGAACTCCACGCCAGCCTTCTCGAGCTCTGTCGCACATGGGATTATGTCCAGAGGAGACCAGGGTTCTGGCTCAGGGTTCCGCTTTGGGAGGATGAAGGATCGAAACAGGTCGACTAGATGGTGGGGGGAACTCAAATGGGAGGAAGGGTCGAGGGCTCTGAGGAGCTGGTCGGAGAGAATTCTTTTAGAAGAGAGAGGAAATACATAACAAGCTTATCTTTAGGTTCTCCGTTGGCAGCTTTCAGAAGACACCAGATTTCCTGGAGAACGAAGAAGGGGAGCTGGTTCTCGAGCAACATCATGTCGTTTACGATCATGCAGAATTTGCTCCGGTCGACCGAAGTATGCTCTTCCCGCTGTTGAAGACGCTGACATTCGCTGTATTTGATTACGAGCTCTACGAGAAAGCACCCGTCGAGTGTCATCATCTCCACAAAGCTGTTGCTGTCTTTCTCTCGGATGGGATCACCGTAACAGCTTCTCACGCGGTTCTCCAGTTCCTTCATCTTCCTCAGGTAGTCCTCGAGGCTCTTGCTGCGATCCCGGTGGAGTAGGTCTCTGAGGTAACACCACTTGTGCTCCTCCATTCCTTTCAGGTGCTCCCGGCCGTAGTGGTAGGGGCCGAAGGAGATGATCTGGGGCTCGAACGCGCTTGGCTTGACATCGCGGATGCTCTTTGGGACCCGGAAGATCGTCGAGGGGTTCCCGTGGCCCTCGCCTCGCGACAGCTGTTTGACCCTCTCATTGATTGACGCCAACCAGTCGGCGTCGATCACGATGGCGGCGGCCGTGGTGCTGGTTCCCAAAGACTCTCCCACCGTCGGGAAAGAACTTTGTTGCGCAGAGATCAGACTGATATCGCCCATGACCAGATGGAGGCCCATTTCCCAAAGCGTCCACTCTTTCTCTTGTACGTTCAGCAGCAATGGGTTCCCATGCGGAGAATGGAGTCAACTTGTTCCGAAAGTCATACAATGAGGGAGCGTGTGGGATTCAGGTAGCCCTCCTTACCTTTCGGGTCAACGGATTTCTATGGTGCTGTCCTATCACGATTTTTGTAAAAAATGTTTATGCCTCTATTAGTTAACTTCACAGATTTTGAATGATTTCATAACGGATTTGTGCGGTACTTTCTTTTTTCTGTCCTAGAAAGTAATGAACGTGCAGCCCGTGTCGTGCACTGCCGTCCATTTAAAAGTCAACGTTTGATAGAATGGCCCTTTGCACACGTCTTTTCCCATATACAATCTTTTCTGTGACGTTCAAAACATCGAATTTTAGATGTCACTGGAACCAATCAATAATGCGTGTTATCCTCTTCCACTGATTTTTAATTACTATTATTGTACCTATGTTGACGTTTCCCGGAAGGCTTTGTTGTACTCTTTGGCGTCATATATTCTGTTTCTCAAGGTCAGGAAGTTTCTCATGACAGAAAGTGGGCAACGCCATATCCTAAATGGAATCTTTAGGGAATGAGAAGTCGGAAGGTTTGTAATTTATTGTATAGTATTATCCTCTCATTCCGATGACATCTCTATGTATGTAGGCAAGGTAGGCAAGTTAATCTTATTTACATACGAAGAACATCTAATATCGTTCCTTCGGGCTGGACGAATTTATCATATAGTTTCCAGGCTCAGAATATCACTTTTCTCCAACGAAAGCTATCATTGTACCAAGTTCTGACCCTACTTCTTTGTTATAGCCACTGATATATGCCATGTGGATTTATCACGCCGCCTCCGTAAACACTGCACAGTTTATCTCTCTGTTTTTATTTTTTTCTTTTTCTTTGACCGAACTTTTCAGAGGTCACCCTCTCGGGTACTTCATACACCTTATTACATTGGTCTGATAACTATCTTGAGCCAAACTTCTCAGGAGGGCACCCCTCTTCTAAGGAGGTCACCCAACTTATTCGGAGCAGCATGTCTAATCTGACAGCACTTGGTTTGATGTAAACCTTCGTGGCATGTTTATTGAGGCACATAATAAAATATTTTTTAATAAATTAATTGATTTAATAATATTAAAATAATATAAATAAGTTAATTAAGTAATATGACAATTTAATTGTAAACAAAAAGGTAAGGCGATTTTTTATCAATCAATTAGTATTTTAAGTATTACATTGGCACGTTCTTCGGAGGTGCCACGTGCGCCTCGCGGGCAGAAGGTTGGCAAGTTCTTCGGAGATGGTGCCACGTGTCCTCGCGGACGGCGAAGGGATGGCTCTCGGCAGGTTCTTCGTAGATGGCTGCCACGTTTGCCTCACAGCACGGCGGCGACGTGCCGTTCTTCGGAGCTAGACCACGTGCCTGGCGGCAGGATAACGCGGCGGTGCCTTTCAGCACATGCGGAGCGGGTGCCTCGCGGCACGCGCGGGCATACTCGGGGACTTCCCAGATATGGTGACTCTCTATTGTATCATGTTTTCCAGAGCTTTAGGGTTTGCCATGGATCCATCCTAAGTTTTCAAATTCCTCAGGTGAAAACGGCGGCTGTGGCAGTAACATGTAAGGAAAGCGTACCTGATCCGAAGTCAAAGTCTAATTATCTACACTCTCTTCATGAGAATCTCGGTGAGGTTCCAAGTAGAAGGCATACTGAATGGCCTCTGAGAGAATGTGACCAGGATTGTGGAGCAGAAACATGCTTCTACTGCTGGGCAGGATCCCCATTCCTTGGACGAGTCCTCTTCAAGAAAGTCCACAAAAGATGCATGTAATGACCAAAACTGGCAATTCTCCCCCATTTTAAGCTATATTCAGGACTTGTTCAACAAGGAATATCACCAAACGTTCAAAATGGACTTGCCTGCTTGTAGCTGCCACCATTCCCGGGAATAAACAAAACAGGAACGCCATTAAGGTTCTGCAGATGTTCATTGAAATCTATTGCTTTCCAGCCTTCATGGTACAGGAACAGCCCATACTTGCCGGCCGAAATATTTGCGGCTGTCGAGATAGGAATGTATGTCGGATACATATATGTCATCACACAACTGCTCGGAGCAGGCTTCAACAGACCGTAAAGAGCTACAAGCCCCATCCATAGAGAGAACACGACCAGGAATCCCACCCTGCATCTTGCTCTGCAGCCCTGCATTGTGCTAACAGATCCCTACTCCAAACCTACGATACCTTCCAGCGCAGAGAAACTCTAGATATTACAAAACCCACACTAATAAACCAAAACTACGGCGTCTAATCCCTCGCAGAACAAGTTATACAAACAACCCACTTCAGAATGGAAGAATCCACAGACGAAGTCGTCTTACAACACCATAAGGACATCCGCTTCCCCCAGCTCATTCCAAAAAACACCATAGTGAACATCGGAGATCAAGAAAATGTAAAAGAAAAGTAATATTTCCTGTCGGAGGGCTCGGCTGCCTCAGAGTCGGAGTGTTCATCAAGCAGGCAGCAATTAGCTGGCGATCCCGATCTCGAGGAGCTCCTGGCACCAAACGACACCCGATCCAGATCTCGGCCAGCTCATATGCAGAATTAGCATCAGATGGGCGGATTCCTCCGCTGAGAATTCACCGGCGCGAAGACCCGCCCTGGACAATGGCCATATAATCGCCGGAGGCGGGGAGGAAGAAGACCAGGCAGGAGACAAATTATAAGAACCATAAAATCCTGCGGGGGGAGGCAGGAAAATAACCGGCAGTCACCGGTGGCTACTGCGGACGATTGCGCGCGCAACGCCGACTCACCGGCAGCTCCCGGTGGTCTTCCCTGGATCCAATCCCGGCTCATTTCAAAATCCACATGCAGCTCTGCGAGGATTCTCAGGCTTCTTCATCATATACACCACCTTAACCACATAAATTTACGAAATTACCATAGAACAAGTCGTATTCCTCTGAAATCCCCCCCATCAATTTAATCCGTCCATTTCTTATCCTACGGCTCGTCTTCCTCTTACTCTAAAGCTATAGGATTTTATGCGCAATATCAGAGTGATTACTCAAATTATGCTTCAATTTGTTTTATTTCTGACCATATCTTCAATACGTTGACCATATTTTCTGACACCCACTTTGCTAAAGTTAAAGTACATGACTGATCTAATGTAGAAATTAATCATTTGACTGCTATTAGGGTTATTATCAATACATTCACAGATATATTTCCCATATGGTTTGCGTCTGTTGGGTATTTATTTATCAAGGAACAAAAATTTAATGAGCAAAAAACCCAAGCAGCCGAGTCTGAGCGCGGAGTGAGTCTGCCTAGCAATCAAGAACCTATTTCTTAAAAAGAAATTAAAAAAAAAATCAAGAACTTATTTCTCCCCACGAGATTGCTGTGCAGGGGTTCATGTTGATGTTCATGCCATGACGATGCATTTCACTTGCAGAAGAGAGATGATGCGGAAGCGTTCCTACTTGAAGCAGTTCGATATTTTTAAGCTCCGAGAATCTGGGGCAAGGCTGGCTTAATGGCGACCAGATCGAGAATAGACTGGGAGATTCTTACTCCATCGGACACCATGGAAGGAAGTTCATCAGGTCAACCCATCTGATCAGATCTCGACTGGCGTGCGGAAATGGGGTTGACCCATATTACAGGCAGGATCTGGGTTCAATGCCGTTTCAACAGGTAACAGCTTAAAGAAAGGAGCTTTATTTCGAATTCGCGGCGCCGTGGTGCGTCAGAAATTCTTGATGAAGTCGAAGATGTGGTCGGTGGTCTCAGAGGGCTTTTCCTGGTTGAGGAAGTGGCCGACTCCCTCCATCACCACCACCTCCTCCAGCAAGGGGACGAACTTCTTCAGCCCGCCCTTGTGGATGAAGTTCTGGACACCCGGTGTGTGGTAGCTCAAGTCGAGGTCACCGACGATGAACTTGGTGGGCACTTTGACCTGCGCTCCCGTCCACGGCGCCGACAGCTCCCAGTTCCTGCCCCGCACCGAAAATCAGAGAGCCATTCTGAGATGATCACGGTGCTAAACTCTAGAACAGCGGTCGATTCAGCCAAGTCACCTGTCTAGAGATCGGTAGTAGTTGATTCCCCCGGTGAATCCACTCTGCTCGAATTTGTCTGCAAAATAGCGAATATCTTCCTCTGAGAGCCAAGGAGGCAGAGGAACTTGGTGGTCGGGTGAGCCCAATAACTCCGCCGTCAAGAAGAACGGACCAGGTGTCCGATACGCGAAGAGCCTCCTGAGCACAAATTCCGTTCCTAGTTTCGCAAACAACTTCTCTGCTTCGCCGGGTTCCTGAAAACTCTCTACAATGAGGAACGGAGGACATCTACTGTATCTTCCGAGAAATTATGATCAGAATTCGTCGGAACGGCCGACATTCACATAAAAAGGGGCCGATTGTCTTCGAATTTTCGCGCAAGAACATAGGTGATGAGGATGGGAAGAGAAATTGTGGAAAGGGTGGGTTCACGAACCTGAAACCTGGCTATGTAGTGCTCGTCTCCGTAGATTGAGCGGAGGGTCTCGACCGGCTTAGCGTTGGGCTTGCGCGGCGAGAAGGCGACGCTGATGTTTACCAGCGCCTTCACTCTGTCGGGCCTGAACAGGCAGAGATGCCACGCCACGATGGCCCCCCAGTCGTGCCCCACGACGAACACCTGCGATGCAAAGCTCAATCTCTCGTGGCGTGGTTCTTTCTAGATAGGTCTTCTCGTTAGTTGATTGAAGAGGAAGGGTTCCTCGCACCTGCTCCTGGCCCAGGGCGTCGATGAGGGCGACGAGGTCGCCGACGAGGTGAAAGATGGAGTACGCCTCCACCGACGGCTGCGCGTCGGTGTCGCCAAAGCCGCGAAGGTCGGGGGCGACGGCGCGGTAGCCGCGGGCGGCGAGGCCGACGATCTGGTGGCGCCAAGAGTACCACAGCTCCGGGAAGCCGTGGATGAAGAGCACCGTCGGCCCTTCCCCCTTCTCCGCGACGTGCATGTTGATCCCGTTCACGGGCACGGTCCTGTGCGTGATCCCCTCCGTCGCCATGTCCTCCACCCGTCGACCAATTCCGAGACTACGGTAGAATCCTCTCTGCAGACAGGCCGCTGGTGGTCTGCATATAAACCACAAGGTTATTCCTCTCCGTTGCCAATGGATTTTTCTCCGAGTTCAACTGCTTCTGAAGGTGATCAGATCAATGCAATTTTTATTTTTATTTTTACCATAGAGAAATAAAAAATAACTAGATTTGATGAAATTAAAATATATCAATTTTCTTTTTTCAATTAGAACTTCGTAATTACATGTTAAGAACAACCAAGGCAAAGTCTTCCAATTATTGGCACAAGGATCCCTGACCTCTTCTCCTGGTACATTTGAGAGTCAAATCAAACGTCACTTGCAAGGCTGAAAGATTGCTTCAGTACTTGTTTCCTTCCTCTTCAATAATCCAGGACATTCATTCATTCATCCGATAGGCAACATTAAGAGAGTTTCACACATCAGTCAACCTCGAATCGTTTGCAATGTCACCACGCTCCTCAGAAGCTTTGGTTAGTCCAGAACAAGGAAATCTATCACGTTGACTTTGCGAAAACAAATTAACAGAGTAGATAAAAGCATCCTCACGTACCCGGAAACGATAAAAAAAGAGTCATCAGGCAGAAGAATCATTCATGGCAGCAATAAGTCAGCTGACATCTCTCAAAAGGGCATTTCTAATTTATCTCTAGGTATTATCTCTCATGCCTTTGACTTTTTAGAGATTTTGAGAGATCTACAAAGGCAGATGCTTTCTTTCTCATTGGGCTCGTTTTTTTCTTCTAGAATATTCTGTCGTATCATGTATGATAATGCAACACAAGAAATGTGTCTACCTTTTGACCTGCATAACTGAGAAGGTCAACAGCGTGGACCCTTCTTTTCTGAGCTTGAATGAAATAGAGCCCGAAGTTAAAAAATTCATCCTACCAGTTCAGCCCAGACGCCAAGGCTGCTATGGGCACAGCCCACTCTCCCTCTCTCACTCTCCTTCTCTGATATGATTAGATTTTGGGCAATTTTCTATAAATAGCAGATAATGAAATCGGTTGGCAAACAAGAATAGAAGAAAACGATACGAATCATAGCGAGAAAAATCTGGAACAGACTGATTGACTGAACCCATCAAAGATTTTCATCAACAAGAACCAACCGCGGCCTCAAATTTATCGGCTGGCACACAGTGAATGAATGATTCAGCAGAATCCAGAAACCTGTCGCTGAATCTATAAGAGGTGCACGCGTGGTATTATTAGTTTGGTTTGAAAAGAAAAAGGAATGAAAAGTTTACGGACCATCTAAGTTCCATGAACCAATCTGTGCCAAATACTGAAAGACCCACAGAACTCTTGGCTCTAAGAAAAAAAAAAGAGAAGGTCGGTACATTAAATGATCAAGGATCCAACCAGGTCAAATGGTATATGAAAACCAACCACACAAGTAGAATATTTCTTTCTATCATAAGAATTTCCATTCAAAGCTTTGAGTATATATTTAACCGTTCAATCTCATTAAATGAGACTTATTTAGGCGAAGATGGCTGCCATGGCCTTTAATGTACACAGGTTTTCCTACTCTCAGCTTTTTAATCGTCTTCTTCATTCTTTTCACTACCCTCACATCCAAGCAGCATGTGGAGACTGGGGGAGTGAAGAGGCCAGGAGAAACTTATTTTCTTCATAACGACAAGACCAAGGGACCAAAAAACTTGTCTTCTCAATTGCTGTGGTAACCCTTTCACTCTCCCTAATCAGTAAAGGAAGTGAAGACTAGAAAAGTCTTATAATCCTTTTTTATAGTAAATTTTATTTTAAAGAAAAAAAATCTGGTGTATATTTCAACCAAATCAAACCAGCACCAACACCATTCTAATTCGCCCTGGTAGTAATGGACTGGCTGAAATTCACTTCTCTGCACATACTCAAACTGACAATCAAGTCCTCTTCCACACCCATCTTCATTTGCCATTCACCTCTGTTGTTCAACCATGGCCACTCTCCAGCTCACTGCTCTCTAATTCGACCACATTTGATGCTGGCATTATTAATTTGCAGTAGAATAATATATATATATATATTATAAATTCTTCATCTTCTAAATAACATAAATAAGTCGTAATTTCTAGAAACATTTTGTATTTTTTGAGGTTCCTGGCTGACCCAACATCAAGTCTTCCTGATTGCCTGGATCCAATCATAGATCAATAATATCAACTAACCACTGAATCACAAAAATCATATTGCCTAGGCCAGCAGATCCCAAAACGCCTCACACATCTTTAGAGCTAGTTTTCCCAGGCCTTGTAAAATACTGAATGGTTGGCGGAATGGAAGTCGTCTGTATGACACGGTTTAACAAATCCAACTCAGTGATCAGACTGATAAAACTTGCATTTTTTTTGAGCCACATGAAAGAGAAAAAATCCAATTCATGGCTCACAAGGGTCATACTGATGACATTTAATTTTTTTAAAAAGAAATACTGATAATATTCTTCCGGAAAAAAATAAAGGAAACCTTAAAAGGAATTAACCGATTTGTCTTGCATGAATGATATTTGGGTACTCTAAGGATGACACAGCCATAAGCTAGCGTCAGCACCACAACATATTTCATCCAGACAACGACATGTTTTCAGTACAAATGTTACGTTATGAATTCCACAGCGGATATGGAATGCTAGTCTCAGTTACCCAAAAAATTCCAAGAGAAGATTGTGATTACAGAGAGGATCACGCCATCGATAGGATTAGCGTACCTTCGATGGCCAAAAACAGGAAGTAGATCCTTCCTCTTTGTTTCAACCTCACAACAGAACTATTTTCAATTTCAATTTCTCAACAGGTGAATCACAGGTGAATCTTTCGCTGCTTTGACGATCCATAGAATAGAATTGGATCTGTCAAAGAAAATGAAACATATTCATCCACAAAAGTTATGAAAACATCTTATAGACAGTTCAATTTCCGTAGAGTACCTCGAATTTCTGCCATATTTGTACCCCCCCGGAGCTAACAAGGACTTTCGGATTTGACAAGTACCAGTGAAATTTTTCATGAGTTCTCACAAAATCCTAACAAGCAGCACTGCTAGGAGAGGAGGACGAGTTTTTGGCCAGTATCCTCGCAATGAGTGATATCCACGAGCACTTCCGCATGCTCTTCACAATCACATCTAGCGCTAGAAATGTATTTTTTCTTTCAGCGGTCAAATCAAGCTTCTACATACATCCCACCCTTGAACTGGTACAGCATTCACCCGCAGTTCTTCATCTTTAGCCTGAAAAAAGGGGCCAGATCCTGTTTTTGAATTGCTGTCACATGACTCTGCAACTGAGGAAGGTAATGGTCCATGTTGAACCAGATGGCCTGAAGGAGAGTACTAAAAGGTGCTCCAAAGCCTTAGCCTTCGAATTAGCTGACCGAGAATCATGATCCACAGACCTGTGGAAGACAGCGGCAACAGCACCGGATGGTGCAGGTGCCTTTCCAGCTGCAGAAGCTGCTATACTGCTCACCGTATTAAGCGACCCGGAATTTCCATCCTTTATACTGCTGACTACTGAAAGTGCAACAGGTGGAGGAGGAAGGACCTGGTGGTCCTTCGTGCTTGTTGAGGTAGATCACCACGGCCTTGAGAGAGTAGGCACAAGTGAAGGTCCATCACTGTGAGAAGTCTGTGTCTGGAGGACAGCACTACCACCAAAGGAGACAAGACACAGATATCACATGTTCCATAGGATGAAACAGCTGCAATCCACTGACTATAATGGCTAAAACAGATGTCCTCAATGACCTGGAACAGAAAATTATGCAGATATTTAAATAATGATTGGGAATAAAAAGCTAAACCATACGATATTACAAAATATTGATTCTTACAGCTGTTGATATCCCACGATATAGCTTGTATAGATGGGCGTGCGATGTAGCCCAATCATAGTAAGAGGAGCTTGTACCATTTGGTACACAGTTTGGCATTATCTGGAAGACATTTATATTGTTCCCGTGCGCAGAAGCAGTCACCAAAAGAGTACTACTAGGATCAAAACATAGTGCAGATATCGGAAAGAGTCAAGAGTAACAAGATATCAAAATCGTTGGAAAGGGCCAGTGATGTGCATCTGGTGGAAAAGATTTCGACTGAAAGGTACAGGTGACATGATTTACCATTCCCGCATTATCTACTTCATTCAGCTGCGTCGCAGATCCAAGTCTACCAGTTTTCCTGCCAAAACTTGATGATGTAGGGGAGTTGGATCCATCGGGTAAAAGATCCTGATAATCTTTGGAGAATTTTTTGTATCCCATGTCGTCCAAATTGATAATTCCATCCGCTCAACTGTTTACTGGACTCCATTACATAACGAGCAACTAAGCTTCCACTGCTAGGTGACGTTGATGGGCTAACGCCAGGAGAGGTTGTAAGATTTTGAGTGCTCAGGCGTCCTGAATTTGGCCAGAGAGGATTGTTGGAAGCATAAGCTAACCATCTCGGACCAACAGCAATTGGACAAAGGGCAACATTTGTCCCTACTGGTCCTTGCATTGGATAAGTAAGAACACTGAATTTATTTCGAGTGTCACAGCATCAAAACAATATATCTGTCATAAAAAGCAATACATCAGTGCCCCATACAAAAATCAACTATTTAGGTTAAATCCCAAAACATAATGCGAACGCCAGTTATAATCTATATGTTTTGATGGTATGTAGATCATTCACTGCTTACTTGTGCTGCAAGAGCCACAACAACCACTCGAGGACTGCACCGAGCAATGTAAACAGGCGATCGAATCCTTAGAACATGCACATAGCTGTGAGACCTTGATGAGAAAAATCGAACTACAGTTGGGGTGGAGATGCAATCCACTTGCTGAGGAGCATTACTGGTCTCCCTTACCAATGCACTCAAGTGGCTACCTTGGGCCATATTCGAACCATTGGTTTCTAAACCTGCAACAAGCAACAACAAAGGATGGGATGTTGTAAATCCGTCAGTACCATCGGACCTAGCTGGGACTGGTAGCACCTGTAAGAAGGTGACTGGACCATCACGCTTTGAGGCCAGCTCATGGAGATTTGATGCATCCTCGACATCAAGAACTTGAAAGCCATTGGCATAGCCAAGTAGCAAAGCATGCCTGAAGCAAGTAGAACTAATTTGTATCTTATCAAAGCCAACCCATAATACCTGTTCAAGAAACAAGTAAAAATAAACTTTAATCCGTGAAAATTTAACAAATAATTGAAACGTTCACAAAAATGAAATGGTACGTCTACAAAAACATTGCAATAAAAGAACTAGCTAGGATGAGAGTTCAAATAATCAAGAAAGAGCTGATCCCTCTTTCCTAATTATTTTTCACCCTTATTACGTAACAATTTTACCACTCATAGTACATGTCAGGCTATGGCACTAACAACAAATGATTTCATAGATACTTCAAATTGGATTTCATGCCACGTAAAATAAAGAGAATGGTCTTTATTAGTAGTCATACGGCTGGTTTGGTCAAGCTTTTGTGAGAAATATATGACATGGTTTTTCACCCTTGTTATGTAAAATTTTACCACTCATAGATACTTTAAATTGGATTTCATAATTACCCCCATATGCCACAAAATAAAGAGAATGATCTTTATTAGTAGTCGTACCGCTGGTTTGGTCAAGATTTTATGAAAAACAAATATATGACATATTTTTGTCATCGGAAGCAAAGTATGTGAGAAGTATATCAACATTCTTCATTAGCATACATACTACTAGTTTGGTCAAGATTTTATGAAAAAAAAAAATATGACATGATTTTGTCATCCAAAAAAAAGTATGTGAGAAGTATATCAACATTCTTCATTAGCAGTCGTACCGCTCGTTTGGTCAAGATTTTATGAAAAAAAAAATATATGACATGATTTTGTATTCGGAAGCAAAGTATCTGAGAAGTATATCAACATTCTTCATTAGCAGTTGTACTGCTAGTTTGGTCATGATTTTAAGAAAAACAAAATATATGACATGATTTTGTAATCAAAAGAAAGCATGTGAGAAGTATATCAACATTCTTCATTAGTAGTCATACCACTGGTTTGGTCATGATTTTATGAAAAAAAAATCTATGACATGATTTTGTATTCGGAAGGAAAGTATGTGAGAAGTATATCAGCATTCTTCATTAGTAGTCGTATCGCTGGTTTGGTCAAGATTTTATGAAAAAAAAAATATGACATAATTTTGTAATCAAAAGAAAAGTATGTGAGAAGTATATCAACATTCTTCATTACCAGTCGTACCGCTGGTTTGGTCAAGATTTTATGAAAAAAATATATATGACATAATTTTCTAATTAGAAGCAAAGTATGTGAGAAGTAAATCAACATTCTTGATTAGTAGTCATATTGCTGGTTTGGTCAAAGATTTTATGAAAAAAAAATATATGACATGATTTTGTCATCAAAAGCAAAGTATGTGAGAAGTATATCAACATTCTTCATTAGTAGTCATACCGCTCGTTTGGTCAAGATTTTATGAAAAAAAATATATGACATGATTTTGTAATCAGAAGCAAAGTATGTAAAAAGTATATCAACATTCTTGATTAATAGTCATATGGCTGGTTTGGTCAAGATTTTATGAAAAAAAAATGTATGGCATGATTTTGTAATCAGAAGTAAAGTATGTGAGAAGTATATCAACATTCTTCATTAGCAGTCGTACTATTGGTTTGATCAAGATTTTATGAAAAACAAATATATGACATGATTTTCTAATCGGAAGCAAAGTATGTGAGAAGTATATCAACATTCTTCATTAGTAGTCGTATCGTTGGTTTGGTCAAGATTTTATGAAAAAAAAAATATATGACATGATTTTGTAATTATAAGCAAAGTATGTGAGAAGTATATCAACATTCTTCATTAGTAGTTGTATTGCTGGTTTGGTCAAGATTTTATGAAAAAAAAATATATGACATGATTTTGTAATTAGAAGCAAAGTATGTAAAAAGTATATCACCATTTTTCATTAGCAATCGTATCGCTGGTTTGATCAAGATTTTATGAAAAATAAATATATGACATGATTTTGTCATCCGAAGTAAAGTATGTGAGACGTATATCAACATTCTTCATTAGTAGTCATACTGCTGGTTTGGTCAAGGTTTTATGAAAATAAAATATATGACATGATTTTGTAATCAGAAGCAAAGTATGTGAAAAGTATATCAACATTCTTCATTAGTAGTCGTACGGCTAGTTTGGATAATATTTTATGAAAAAAAAATATATGACATGATTTTTTCATCGAAAGAAAAGTATGTGAGAAGTATATCAACATTCTTCATTAGCAGTCGTACCGCTGCTTTGGTCAAGATTTTATGAAAGAAAAATATATGACATGATTTTGTAATCAGAAGCAAAGTATGTAAAAAGTATATCAACATTCTTCATTAGTAGTCGTACGGCTGGTTTGGTCAAGATTTTATGAAAAAGAAAATGTATGGCATGATTTTTTAATCAGAAGCAAAGTATGTGAGAAGTATATCAACATTCTTTATTAGCAGTCATAACGTTGGTTTTGTCAAGATTTTATGAAAAAAAATATATATGACATGATTTTGTAATCATAAGTAAAGTATGTGAGAAGTATATCAACATTCTTCATTAGCAGTCGTACTACTAGTTTGGTCAAGATTTTATGAAAAAAAAATATATGACATGATTTTGTCATAAGAAGGAAAGTATATGAGAAGTATATCAACATTCTTCATTAGCAGTCGTACCGCTGGTTTGGTCAAGATTTTATGAAAAAAAAATATATGACATAATTTTGTAATCAGATGCAAAATATGTGAGAAGTATATCAACACTCTTCATTATGAGTTGGCTGGTATTTTCTTGATATTGTGAGAAATATACGACATGAGTTTGTCTTTAGATGAAAAGCATGTGAAAAATACGTCAACAGCCATTTATGAAGAGTCTTCATTAGCGGTCGTATGACTGGTTTGGTCATGATTTTGTGAGAAATATGTGACATGATTTCGTCATCAGACGGAAACCATGTGAGATATATACCAACAGTCTTCTTTAGCAGTCGCACGGGTGGTTTTGTCATGATGTTGTGAGAAATATACGACATGATTCCGTTGGTAACGCCTTATATTAGCAGTCGGGCGGTTTTCATGGCGGCAGCCATACATACATCAACAGGGCGCGGCGCTTATCCTCCGGCGGAGGCAGAAGAAGGCCAGCAGGCGGTAGGCCAGCGCCATGGCCAGGAGAATCCACACCTCCTCCACGCCGCCGGCGAGGTTCACGGTGTCGAACGACGGCGAGCTCTGCAATCGCCGGCAGCCCCCCGGACCCCCGCACTCGTACGGCTCGTCGCCGGAGTACTGCGCCTTCAGCATGAGCCGGAAGCCGAAGTGCATGAAGGAGACGTACTTGAGCCACCGCATGAAGATGGGGATGTGCTGCGTGAACGGAAAACAGAAGAAACGCCATCGGAGGGCCCGTTTGGATTCTGGGAATAACTGGTTGGGAGGAGGAGATGAAGGGATCACCTGAACGTAGTAGCCGCCGGTGAGGATGAAGAGCATGAGGACCAGGGAGGCCATGAGCCCGGCTCTCTTTATGCTGAGAATGGCGGCACCGAAGAGCTCCCCAGCTCCCTGGGCATGGGGATCAAGTCAAAGGGCATCGTGATCTTTTCGTATAAATTTGCTAATTTTGAACTGGCCAAACAGATTCATGAGACATCTCAAGGATTGCAAACTTAGCCTGCGGCCACCACCTCAAAGCCCAGACCCTAAAAAGATGAGCAGAGATAATGGTACAGGATCTTCTCAACATAAAGTCCACACAGAGGTAAACCTTGGACCTTAAACCCTAAACATGTCCAGATATAAGGTCACTTTCAGCACTCTTTTTAAACCATAATCGCCATCCCGGGCAGGTAAAAGGAGATCAAATGCGGAGGATTTTACTGAAATGAAGTCGTTTACAGATGTAAAATCATAAGCTACTAACCGTAAACCATATTCGGGGATAAAAACACCTCGGACACTCTTTTTGTGACCTATTCTCAAACCCTAAATCACCTTCACATGGAAGAACGGATTGAGAATAAATAGAGCAAAGACCTAATTCAGATTTTACCTGGCTTGTGATCACAATAAGGAGCACCGATGCTAACATCGAGAAGAAGCAAGGAACGGTCCTCTTGAAGTCAGCCATGAAGTAGATGATGACCATGAAGATAGTGGGGTAGAAAACGTGAGCCACCATGTCGCAGAGGGTACTGCACACGTAGTACACACTGAGCCTGTACATGTCCGCCTTCCTCTCCTTCACAAGGTATGACTTCTCATACGGGAAGACGTACACCGCCCCAAAGAGGGATGCTGACGTCCAGAATATGCAGATGTAGAACATCAGACCTATCTGAATCAAGAAGAGGGAGGTCCTCAGATCCAGAGATAGAATAAATAGTGGGATTTAGTCCGTATCCGTACTCAGTAGGGATTTTATCAATTACAAATCTTATTCCAGATTGAGGAAATGGTGATCTGACAAAAGGCTCTTTCCAAAAGAAGTACGGAGGAATAAAAGTGGCGAAATATTAGATCTACTAGACGTCCTGCTATCTCTGTTCTTCACTCAAAACAGCAAAGGGTCAGCAAGACAGCCCTCCCATTTCCGCCCATTTAGATCGTCATGACATGTTATAAAAGATTTCCGCAGCTGACCACACTTCCTCTAAGGTATGGATCTCTTGAACCTTCAGGAAAATTGATTTTGATGACGGTTTTAGAGACATAATAATCGGCCTAAGGAGAAGTTTACCTTCAATAAAGTTTGATCGATGGGAGTTTACGATAGTCTTATGAAGACTAATTGCATTGGCTAATACCGCCAGACATAGACTTCTATTAAGACGAGCACCATAGTTCTCTAATATCCGATGTCAAAATCGAGACAAAAATAACGACTTTTAGAGTATTAAATCGAGAAACATACAACCTGGTCTAATTCCACAAATCATATTTGTGTGTTCGTATCCAATGAGAGTTTAGGGCATTTATGAGGTAAAATCCTTAATCGATCCGAGGTCTGATTGAGATTGGCACCATCGATCCAAATTTCTTACCGATCAATTATCGATACATTTGAAACAGCGAATCTGATCATAAGTCCAATGCTCCATCCCAGCATCCCTCTGGTTGAAATGATATTCTGATATGATACGGAAAGTATTCGCAACTATAGGTACTTGAAAGAAGTCAAATTTCCGAGCGATTGAAGAATCAGAGGAAACTTCGGAATGTAGAACATTGGGCATTGTAAACTCAAGAAGCTTCGAAATTAAGAGTAAAAGGGTCAGAGAGAGATTTAGTGTTTGTCACCTGATCTCTAAGCTGGGCTTCAGTTTCTATCTTGGATTTCCACCAAAGGAGGCCTAAGAGAACTGCAACGCCAATAGCTTGAAGCAGTCTAAGCTTGTCTAAGTAATCTGAGCATCTCTCTCTAAAAGTTCTCTTGGAAAGTATCACAAACTGCTCCGCACAAGTCATTGTCCAATCCTTCTTGAGCTGGATTGCCAATTGAAGATGCCTCGGTGCTTTGGCTCTTCGGTGATTCTCTTCTTTCTCCCCGGGTTCCAACTCGCTCTTATACTTTCGTTGCAAGAACTAGAAAGACTATAAGTCTCAGCTGAACGAAGAAAAAAGTAATAAAAGAGAACTAATATTTTAAAGGGAACAATACCCATTTGATGGAATTGATGAAATCCTCTCTCTCTCTCTCCCCCTCTCTCCCTCCCACCGTTTCAATCGCGAAAACCCGATGATTTAAGAAAAAACTGTTTCAGACGCTGTTCCTTTGGTAAAATTCCTTAAAACCCCTGTGTCCCCCCCCTCTACCTGTATCTGTATATATACATATACCCCTACCCTAGGCTTTATAGTATGCCCATCTTAAGTATGATTGAATGAGGTTACCTTTACTATATCATGTCCAATTTCTTCCGAATCGGAGGAACTTTGCAAGGCCTCCGGGATATTCATATCGTGCACATTCCCGGTGGCCAAATCAAGCAGAAATTCCGCAGGGTTCATCGCCAGCTGTGGGACGAAACCCAGTGACGAGAAGTACTGCATGCTGTTGCTAGCTTCACCGTAGTACATCGGATGACCATCGGATATTAATAGGAGTTTATCAAACATATGGAATATCCTGCTTGAAGGCTGGTGAATCGTCGTTATGATCGTCCTTCCGGCCTGGAAAATGATGGTTTAGAAAAATACTCATGAACCACTCATAACTATCTATGGTTCATCTGTCTATGGTTTACGATCTCGGTACCTTGGCGAGTCTTCGAAGAATCTGGAGGAGCCTGTTCGCAGAGGCTGAGTCAACGCCTGATGTTGGCTCATCAAGTAAGAGCAACGAAGGATCGACGAGAATTTCATAGCCAATGCTGGTTCTCTTCCTCTCTCCTCCAGATACGCCTTTAACGAATCCTCCTCCGATCCTTGTATTACGGCATCTGTAACACGGGTTTCTTGATGCACTTAATTTAAGATAGATTGAAATTCCGATCATTAGGAAATTCATAAAAGAAACATCTTCTATCATTGAAAGATAATGTGTTCGATGCTTCTTCAAGCATGTTCTCTAGTGTTTTTTCTTTCTGTAGATATGACCCTTGGCGATATTTCATGGAGCTGACCTCTCTAGACCCAGTTCCTTGAGGATTAACTCTGCCCTCTGGAGCTTTTGTTGGCGGCTCATATTTGTAGGCAGCCTCAGAAATGCAGCAAAGACGAGGGTTTCTTGGACGGTCAGCTGAGGGAAGAGAATATCATCTTGTGTCACGAATCCAATCCTGTGTATCAGATCAGGTGTTTTAACGGGCGAAGGCATAAGGCATAGGTCATGATAAAGAGGGAATGGGGAGACGGAGGGACAGAGAAATAGACATGGAGACAGATAGATCGCGAGCGAGCGAGCGAGAGAGAGAGAGAGAGAGAGAGAGAGAGAGAGGCCACTTGCCTTCTCTTAAGGGCGCTGCTATATGGAATATCATTATAGGTGATGCTCCCTTTGACGTTATCGCTCAGCCTTCCGGCGACGATCTTCAACAACGTTGTCTTGCCGCTGCCAGACGGACCCATCAGAGCCAACACCTCACCCGGGCCGACGCTCCCCGTTATCCCCTTCAAGATATGCCTGCGATCGCTCATCTGGGAGGCAACAGTCCTCACCGCCGCCCACACAGGGTCCCTGGGATGAAGCCCCACCGTGTACTCGACGTCCTCGAACTTGGCATCACCAAAACCAGAGATCCTCTTTGCCCATCACCACCATCCGGACGGAGAAACTCAAGGAACTCTATAAGAGAATGCGTACACGTAAACACATATACCTTGAGAAAAATCGGGAGAGGGTTGCTCTTGAACACGGGAGAAGATCCACTCTCAACGTCCATCCTAAGATCCACGGGCCTCTCGAAGCATGGCTTTGGGACGGAGACTTCTTTCTCTGACCGGAAGTTGTAGCTTCTCACTGCCCCCATCCCCGCCATGGCCGGAATGGCCAGCTGCGCCTCTCTCTCCCCCTCATCGACGATCTCCATCGCCCGCTGGAGGAACGGAAGCTTGGATGGAGGGGAAAGTCTGCGTTTCCGCCATATCCATGCTTATCTGAACTTTAAGAGGGACGGGAGAACCACTCTGCACCGAACTGCGATCCATCAAAAGCTTGCCGAGAGCGTCATTGTTCGGACGTATCTCGGGTTCTGGTGCAGTTCGGTTGGTCACAATCTTGTCGCGTCAGTCCCCATGAAAAAAGCTTCCTTAGGGAATTTCAAGTCGTAATCCTTTTCTTTCTCATTAAACTATACTAGAGTAATGGCTAGAGATATGAGTTTGATCTCGCCACACCCTTTTTATTCTTCCCCCATAGGTTCCCCAATCTCAGCACCACTGTCCCTCCCACATCCACCCCAGCGAGTCCTACCTCTCAGCCTCTTCCCTTCCCTCGTCTTTCTTTTCCAAAGGGGCTGCCCTTGGACTTCATAGGGGTACCATCTAAGCCTCTTTTGTGAATTTTTCTGAGTGCATTTGTTCTATCTACGCCTTGGAAAGAAATGACTGCGCCAGAGTAAGACTTCATAGGCCGAACGCTTGACCTAAGCTGGTTTATTGCAAAATGTGAAATTTGAAGACAAACCTGACTTGAATATATTGCCTTTCAAAATTAATTTTCAACCTTTTCTATTTATAATATTTTTATTTGATTATTTTTCCAAATTTTAATTTTTTTTTAGTATCATCCAGAGACATGCATGCCTGATGCGGTAAATTTAAGGTAGTAGGAAATTTTTCGATAACCTTATAACCGTGTGAGTATAATGGGCCTTGTCAGTGGCTATATGTTTAATTTTCCTTTTAATTACACAGTTTTGGTCATATTTTTCTTATTCGGGCTGAAACTTAGGTCAATAACGCTTTGACAAGCTAACGTAATTCACATCGTCAATTCAGACCTGAATCCCCTGTGAAATCGTCCACCGCCCAAATTGGAGAGAACTGATCAAATTATGCCAAGGCAAAGACGTCTAATAATTTTCTCCCATGGGATGTTGTGGAGGAAGAATATGACCAATATCACCCCGACTGGAAGAAAAACTACTAAGTGGACTCCAATGGGATGAACTGCCGGATCAACTTGAGACCAGAATGAAGATGGGGATCGACGTCAGCACCGTCCAAGACCAATGTCCCTACATGATCCTACGTATAAAGATATGATTTCTCTAGGCTGCTGTCTCCAGTGTTACAACTGCACCAGGAGAATAGGAAACCTTTTCTTTTTCCACATACGCCACTTGACATGGTGGGCTACGCGCCGATCAAAATTTATCAACTTGGGTCGTGATTAGCTAGCCAATCAAGAGGGGGGAGGGGGGAGGGGGCAGATCTGATTACAGGATTGGATCAATCGACTCCTCACAAATTCTTTCCAATTCGGACCCGGATTTGCAATGGTTGATCCCATCACTCACTCAGCGGATTGTATACCTAACGTTTAAAACTGGTATCCGATGCATGATCGATCCCCCATGCAAGGTCGTAGGCTGCATAATCGTACGTGGTTGCCGCTAACTCATGCACGGAACTGTGAAAATTCCGATGCATCGCTCACATGGGTGCCAAGGAAGGTTGTTTCAACATTATGACTAGGGAAGATTGCCCAATTAACATGGTTTTAGTAAAATAAAAAGTATCCGGCTTTACGAGAGGATCAAAGCCGATAGAGAGATGAACCGTTTACCGAGTCTACTTCTCCAGGATGTGTTGAGAATGAACATATCGCATGATTGCAGGGGCCCCGCCCCCGTCAATAACACGCACAATTCAAAGCAGAAAGAACAGTTTGATCCAGGTTTTGTGGGCAGGTTCTTGTCCGACACAACGCGACTGCTCTCAACGATTCAGAGTCGCAACGCCGAAAAACAAAGAATGGATAAAACAAAACAAGCCGTTGTAATATTTTCCTGTCGCCTGTTAAGAAAAAATGAAAATCTCTCCCTGGTGATCTAAAACTCGACGTTGAACTTGTACTGCGCCGACTTGATGCCGACCTTCTGGTTAGGCGCGAGGCTGTCGACGACGAGCGAGCACATGACGGACACCGTCATCTTCCTCAGGTCCACGGCCCCGGCCAGCCGCAGCACCACCGGCACCTTCACGTACACCTCCAGGGGGATCCTACCCGAGCGGCGGCTCTCCATGAGCGCCTGCTGCACCCCGCTACCCAGTGCGCTCTCCCCGCGCAGCAGTACCTCGATTGTGGTGGTGTTCTGGTGGCCCTGGAAGAAGGCCGGCAGCTCCCCGGCGCACAGCCGTGCGCCGCGGTACGCCACCGCCACGGAACCGCCCGAGCCATAGGCAATGGCGATGCGCGCATTGGGGTTCTCGGCGCGCACGCTGGCGTGGAGTTCGGTGCGGAGGGAGAGGTCGGGGAGGACGTCGAAGGCGCCGACGTTGAGGTGGGAGACGGTGTAAGACGGGGACTTGGGGTCGACGGCGAGGAAGAGGAAGAGGAGGGAGAGGAGGAGGGCGAGGAGGAGGGATAGGAGGCAGCAGCAGAAGAGGGCGGCGCAGCCGCAGGAGCAGGCGCCGCCGCCGCCGCTGGCCTTGCTGGAGTAGTAGCGGGGGAGGTTGCGGCGGCCCGGGGGGGGTTGAAGGGTGCCGTTGCCGACCTCGGAGAGCATGACGTACCTCGGCGGACCCGGTTGGCCATAGGCCGACGGGTCCATGGCGTGCGCCCTGTGCTGGTGATAGTTCATCAATGGCGGATGAGAGAAAGCAGGGGAAGAATGGCGAGAGAGAGAGAGAGAGGTAACGGAAAGGACCCTCCTCCCGTCTGAAGTGGGGCTCAACATGTGTCCAGGAAGGGATGGCAGTGGTTTCGCGTACAAGTCTGTTGCCGAGGAATGGACCACAGTTTGCAACGGGGCCGAAGACCCATTTTGGCTCCCTCTCTCTCTCTCTGTCTCTCTCTCTCAGAGGCTAGGACTCTTCTAAACCGTTAGAAAAGGAGGTCATTCCAAACGACGTAGGAAACGTGAAATAAATATCTCTACCGGGTTCTCAGCAACAGCGTTATAGAAAACCTTCGATTCCATTTGCATCAAAATATTTAAACTTTTACCATAAAATATAACGGAAAATAGTATTTTTTATTCATTTGCTCGGAAAAATTCATATTCATCTTCACATCCCTCGCTCGTTATTTTTTCTTTTGGCGAATTCACTTAGAAACCCTGAAAAATTCGACTTAGAAAGACGTCTCGAGATTAAAAAAAAAACCTAAGAAATTTTTTGATGCAAAAAAAAAAAACTGATAATCTTCTGTCCACCATGAAAAGGGTCTCAGGGGGTAGTCAGGGGTTCAAAATGGGATTCATTGAGTGATTGACGGCAACTATGATGGGTTTCTTCTAATGGTAGGAGGTTTCTGCGGGTTTACTATTAAATCTAGCAAAAAATGTGGGCTTTTCCTTAATTGAGAGAGTTGTAATGGGTTTGGAACTAAGAAGCCCCTTTGATTTCTGCCAGCGAGTAAAGAGTGATGATCAGTTTCATCCATGTGTAAGAAAGAAAAATCCCCCTTCATGAGAAAATCAGGGATACACAAGCAACAGATGAAGAACAAAAACCTCAAGGCAAGGGGTTTTTCTTTTTGTCAGATCTTTATAGTTGCACCACTGTTCTTATAAGATGAGCAACTAAATTTATCACGAGTCAAACAAGATGTAAAGCTGATAAAAAAAAATCAATTATAAGAAGCATAAATTTAAGATCGCCAATTCATGATGAACAGTTGATTTCCTCAAAGAATTAGTGAGGAAAGGACATAAATCCATAGACCAAACAAAAAGAGATCTTAACCCATCGTCAGACTAGTAATGGGATCAGCATTTAAAGGTTGCCTAGTTCAACTTCACATGAGTGGACTCCAGAATTCCGTTTAGTGTTGTTCAACCAAGAAGAGCAACAACCCAGTCAAATCCTTCAGTGAAAAGGATGCTGTCGTCCTTACCACAATAGGGTGAGTGTAATGGTATTGATGAGCCGCCTGTTAATAAGCCATCGCCAATAAGTATAAGGGATGAATATTGCAGCATTTTCCAGTTGAACGTGGTTGAAACTTCAGCCATACAATGCTCTCCATGGCTCTTGCGACCTCGATTTCTCTCTCTCTATCCAGTTAGTCTTGCCCTTGGAGAAGCTTAAACCAGTGCAGTTTGCCAAGAACTCTCCAATCCCATTTACTCCCTGCAAAGAAAAACCCTGGTTAGGTGTCTTGTGAGGTCGCAGATGCAGTGGCAATAACTGGACAAACTGCTGTAGTGGAGCAATCACAGATACTCCTGCTAATCATTCAACGGGAGTTTCCGTTGTGAGAAGAGGACTTTTTAAAAATATATAATATCCGAGGACAGAATTTCATGACTTAATTATACTTGATTTTTAAAATCTGTTCCAGGCCCATGAAAGGCAAAACCATGAAATAGAGGATGGTGTTTAGTGCGCATCTGATTATCCTAATCATTTTTTTTTTATGAAACCCAGAGAGACTCCTAGTCACCATTACAAAAGCCCCCGGAGACTTGCAGAAGGCCAAGGCATACTTTCCCCATTTTCTTTCATTCCATTAGTGTAGGACAGGAGATCTCACATCTGATTGGTTCATGAATTGGTAAAATATTAAGAAGTTATTTTTCTTGAAATCTATGGCTGTGTTTTCTGATAGCCATGATAGCTGGTATCTATTTCCTTGAACATTAATGACTCAGTTTTTGAAGAACATGATATCTCTATGACTGCTACCGACTTACTATGAATGCTAGAAAAATGGATGAACTAGGGTAAAAAGTTATAAAACCTTTTCGCTAGATTTTGACGAACGAGATATCTCTAAGATACGTCTGCGACTAACTTACCCACAAAAATTATGAATGGTTGAAAAATGAATAAACTAGGGTAAAAAGTTGTAAGTCTTATAGGCTAGTCTCTCCTATCTAGACAACCTCAGAGTATTCGCCATCTGATTGTCGTGCTGCTCTTCACTATTAGTCAATGCCTCTCTCTAAACTATGCTCCATCCTGTCAAGGTGCTAGTTAAAAAGTGGTTACATTAAAGTTTTGAGTTTAGAGCCGAAAGTAGAAGTATGATGCTGGAAACGGATGGTATGGATCTAGTTATCTGTTTCTGCCTGTCCCACTATACTGTTATGAAGGAAGGTCCCCCAGTAAGATTACCTCTTCACAATACAGACAACCTTACATACATCTCTAGCTTCTCCAAAGGCACCCTTACCTCTCAAATATTATAACAAAACTCAATATCAGAACAAAGTTGAGCTGGATATGGCTGCGATAGCAGAAGTTATCTTCTTTTGGTGGTAATTCTTACTGCCTCTTTGGTTCCAGTGATGTTCCTCTAACTTCTACAAGGGCCAAATTCCTCTACTTCATCATCTCCCTTTAGCCACTATTTATGATCATTTAGTCAGCGTAAAGAATGAATAACTTTAAAACGTTTTCCAAAGTTAGAAACAATTTCTGTTCCCAGACTAATTCAGGCTCCAAAGTCTAAATTCTCTACCCAAATAATATTTCCGCCAGAAGGAATTTTCCCTAGATCTAATAGAATACCAGAAAAATGTTTGAGATTGAGTGACAGGGATCTTTTCGCCTCTTGTTCTACATTTACATGTTGTCCGGCCGGTGGATAGAGCGGTTTCCGTGATTTGCTCCGACCTACTAATGGATGCGATTTATAGGTCGGGGTCTAACATTCAGTCATGGTCCATCAGATTACTTAATAACGTTGATCATTTTACATAAAAAACACAATAGAATTAGCTTCAAGGAAACTAATATAAATGGATTCTTACATAAACCGCTTGTAAAACTGCTAGAGAAAAGTATCTGTGTCTGAAACTAATTTCATTTCTAGCTGTCAATTTCATTGAAAAACATAAAAAAAGATAGCCTCATGAAAAAATTATTCTTGGAGAAGCATAACAAATAAAATCAATGTTGAAAGCAAAAGAACACTTTCTATCTTCGGAAGTGTACCTTTTTCTCAAAATACTTCGAAATATTTTACAAATAGAAGAGCTCCTACAAAATAGAGAAAATAAGTACCTGAATATCCTCGGCTTTAGCAGATATATCTGGTTGGCCAATACTTGTACCAATTAGAAGGGAAGGAATATTTAACACCCGAATCATCTGCAGTAAGCAGGCCGATGTTTCACAACTGAGCCGCAATGACGAAGGAGGTTTAGGGATCCCGGACAACATAGCCTGAGTTGTGTCGGTCACCAGGCCTATTTCAACACCAAAAATAGCAACTCTATTGTCAAAGAGCTTTGGTTTCTTAGGCTCCTGACTGATCTTCAGCGACGGCTGAAAGATGGGAACTACGATTATCGGCAGTTCCGAGGAATTTTCTGATATAACTGTTGCCAAGATCTCATTCACAGCGCATGCAGCAACTGGTGGCTCAAAATTTGGCACGAGTATGATTAAGACCTACAGTGAGGGACAAGAGTGGAAGATTCTCAACAACCAATCCATCACATATAAAAATGGTGAACGAATTCAATCTCCCACAGAACGCTAGGCTTAGTAAGGAAATCCACATCTCCACCATCTCCGCCCAGAGTAATAAATTAAAGGAGAAGAGTAATCAATTTCCGGAAGTTTCACGAGAATAATGGAAGCAAACGGGATAAAGGGTCGGAGGGAGGTGCCTGAGGAGAACCGCAACGATCGTTGAAGTGAATCAGAGAGCAAGACACTCCAGGATCCTTAACACCGTAGTTCTCCAGCGAGAGCTGGAGGCTTGACTGTTCTCTGGATCAAAAAAAGAGAGACAAAATGAGGGCGTCGAGCGACGAAGAAATTTAGCAAAAAACCTTCAACAAGGTCCGAATCGCTCAGAAGGAAGACGAGTTATCACCTTGAGAGGTCAGAACCTGGCCTCACGCTGAGACCGTCGGAGATGACAGCTCCCAAACCGCCCTCATCACCGATGAGGATGACGACCTTCCGGGCGACCCTCATCTTCCCGCTCCTTGCTCTAACCCTGTACCGAGCTCAACGAGGATGGAGAGGAGGAATCTGAAAAATATAAGCCAAAAAGAGAATCAATAACCGAGATCTCCCTAAGGTAACCAACCAGATGATGCCACGAACCCAGCCTGGCGTCCATTGGGAGATCGGACGGTGGGAGGCGCCCCTATGCGTTGTTTTATTAATTTTTTTGACCATTCTTGGGAATTGAATAATTAATCGGCACACTGATCATGTCTCCTTTTTCGTCTTAAAATCTTATGAAATTAAGTTTAAATAAAATTGTCGAAAAATTGAATTCTAAAAGTAGAATAAAACTCCTTATTTGCGACTACCCCATAGTGACCCACATGCCAATCATCTCCCCCTCTCTCTCCCTCTCTCTCTCTCTCTCTCTCTCTCTCTCTCTCCCCCTCTTTCTCTCTCTCTCTCTCTCTCTCGCTCGCTCTCTCTCTCCCACACACACACACATTGGAATGGTCTGCGGAATTGGGGTCAGATTGGCTACATATAATGGATGAATAGGAAAAAAAAAAGAATTATGCGTCTTTATCCAAACTAATTGCCTAATAGGTAATGAGAAAGGAAAAATGGAACCAAATATAATCAAGTGCATAAGATTGAAGGCATATTTTTGCAAAATAGTGATTATGCCTCTTTATCCTTAAATTAAAATTGATAGAAAATGAATAAGGAAAAAATGTGATCACAAAAAATCCAATACATAACGTTTGAGACAGATAAAATGTCCAAATAGACTATAGAAGGCCACTCATTTTGCAATCTTTCTTATAAAATCATATGTTTTAAAAGTTATGGGTAGTTTTAATAATTCACACCATTATTACTGAAAAATACTATACATTATGTTATGACTTGTGTGCACCCTATGTTAGTCATTGGAGACTTATTTGCGGCTTATTTCATTGTAACATTAAATTTCTTTGTAGAGACATAAGAGAAAGTCTATATCATAATAGGGACGAAATTGAACTGCAATATTTTTTGTGTCAGAAATTTGATTTTATCACCCATAACTCTTTTTGAAGTAGGTCAATAATGTACTAATTTTAAAATAATAAATATAGTTTAACTATTTTATCTATCTTCATATTGTCGGTGGTGGCATTAATTGCATTACACTCTAGGAAATTGAATGTTTTTTAGAAAACCCAATTTTTAAACACAATATTGCTACATTAAAATTGTATTTTTTAAAGTATTCAAGAGATTATTATATGCACACGCAAAAAAATTCTTTTTTCCTTCTGATGCAAAGTCTTGATGTTGCAAAATATTCTTGTAACCTTAAGGAGGTGATGGACTAATGAGGATGCCATCCAAGACTTGGGAGCTACAAGATAATAAAGCAAATGTTGGATAATTTGGTGACAAGGCATGCAAGAGGGTTCCAACATTTGAGCCCCAGATTGAAGATCATACAGCTTAGGAGATGGTGAATAGGCTTGGTGGCATCAAGGTGCAAGAAGGAGAGAAAATGTTGCATTGCTTCATTAACAGTTAAGTGACATTACTGAGAATCTTAAGACCTATATTGGTACGAATCACGGCTCCAAAATCGGGTAGTTAAAGGTAAATTCCAGTTGGGCAGCAGTCAGGTAACCGTTTTGGGGGTCCTAAGCTGTATAAGTTTCCAGGAATATTACTCACACTGTCATGCCGCACAACCATTTGCTAGCACAAGATTATCTCCTTCATCCAGTACACCAGCCGGTAGGTGCCATCGTGAGCCATTGATTTGGACAAGTGGTGTTGCCCTAGGAGCTTTATGTCTAAGTAAAGGTGATGACAACTTGGGGAGGGCCAAGAAGTCAGAGTGACTGTTTCAAACATCAACTGGGGAAGTGGCGAGCAGTGAAGTCTCCAGTGGGTATTTCTTAACTATGACCACACTCCAGCTCCATAGAGTTGGGGTAGAACCGGGAAGCCATGCAGAACACGAAGGATTATTTTTCAGTCCCCTCAAACCGTCTAGCTACGCAACTGACTGCGTATGACGTCAAGAATGTCTCCTTCGTGTTGTATTAAGTGGGTTACGAGTGACTGTGCACGATGTATTGATAAAAGCAGTGCTAGCTTCAGATCTCTCAACAGCTTGGGGGGATCTCGGATGACTGTTTGAGAAGGATAAGGTGTTGAGAACTAAGAAGCCAAAGTAACTGATTCATATGCAAGCTAACGAGGTGGAGGAGGATGGATCATCGGGCGTTTTCTTGTGTAGAACACACTCGAGCTCCATTGAGATCTTTCAGGAGAGTTAGCAGTAAATGGGGTACAACTCATCTGCCAGGTCCGGTGATCCATGACAAGTTTTAGAATGTACTTAAAGCAGCACGTATAAATTTTCTATTTAATGAATACTATCCTGATATTTAAATGAATACATGAATCATATCCGTGGATTTGTAATTTTCATAATTACTGCCGAAGTAGAGACTGGGTGGAGAAGTATTAAAGTCAAAAATTCAACGGTGGCAGGCAGCATTTACTCCTGGGGCCCTAGTTCTGTTTAACCAGGTGGAACAATTGTACAGGGGTTTCACATGCTGCCATGTCGATTGATTGGACACCCTACATGATTACAAGCATTCTCTCCGTTGGGTGCAATTTCTTCATTTCTGCTAACGCTTGCCAGGGCGATCTTCACCGTGCTCTCCTACGAGGAGTCCACTTTGACACAAACTCGACCCTTTGCTTAACAACTGTGCTGCTGAGGTCCCCTTCAAGGAGATCGATTTGCGGTCAACCTGTTGAGGACAGATCAATGAAATAATCGGGATCTGATCATCGTGCCCAAAAGTTTCCGATCTGATTTTAAGGGGATTTCAATAGAAGAGTTGTTCAGTTGGATCCCCCTTGTCTGTCGCCGTTTGCACTGTCATCAACGTTGCTGCCACAGTCCCGGGGTCACCCTGGTGGCTTTGCAAAGTCCTTTCTGTCTACTATTTCGAGGACCGCAGGCACTAATCCGCGGCTACTGCAGGTCGTCGTTGCCGATAATTTCATCATGTGATACTTTACTAAAGTGATATATCATTAAAAAAAAAAAATTAAATTCCATCCCAAATTAATCTAATCCTCTACACTTTTAAATACCTTATTTGGGTCTTTTTCTCGACCAAATTAGGATTTTGTACAGAATGTTTGATCTGAAGCTCGATCTAATCCTGTACATCTTAGGTCCTGTATGCTCTTGGAAGAGGAGGTAGAAAGAACCATTGATGCATCATATTCCGCGCTCCTCTTGTTTCTTAGAATCTACCAATTTTAATTGATTTCACATGAATATTGCTATATTAGATCGGACTCAATGCCGGGTGGGGCCTGCCCTTGACCTAAAGGTCCGAATCTTTACGGTGAGTTATTCACTTGCATTCAAATATTAGGAGCCTTCTATTTATTTCGCTGACCCGGATGAGATCCTTCAGCGAGATCAACCTGTACTTTTCCTCCTCACTCTCATAATCTTAACTATACGTCCGGGTGGGAAGATTTAAGGGCAGACATCGGTGGTCAGCGTTTAAGACACGTGTCTTCGTGAAGCATTTTTTATTTCATATAGTTTTGAAAATAAGCACTGCACTTTGTGCGAAGCCACAGCACCGAGGCATCTTCAATTGGCAATCCAGCTCAAGAAGGATTGGACAATGACTTGTGCGGAGCAGTTTGTGATACTTTCCAAGAGAACTTTTAGAGAGAGATGCTCAGATTACTTAGACAAGCTTAGACTGCTTCAAGCTATTGGCGTTGCAGTTCTCTTAGGCCTCCTTTGGTGGAAATCCAAGATAGAAACTGAAGCCCAGCTTAGAGATCAGGTGACAAACACTAAATCTCTCTCTGACCCTTTTACTCTTAATTTCGAAGCTTCTTGAGTTTACAATGCCCAATGTTCTACATTCCGAAGTTTCCTCTGATTCTTCAATCGCTCGGAAATTTGACTTCTTTCAAGTACCTATAGTTGCGAATACTTTCCGTATCATATCAGAATATCATTTCAACCAGAGGGATGCTGGGATGGAGCATTGGACTTATGATCAGATTCGCTGTTTCAAATGTATCGATAATTGATCGGTAAGAAATTTGGATCGATGGTGCCAATCTCAATCAGACCTCGGATCGATTAAGGATTTTACCTCATAAATGCCCTAAACTCTCATTGGATACGAACACACAAATATGATTTGTGGAATTAGACCAGGTTGTATGTTTCTCGATTTAATACTCTAAAAGTCGTTATTTTTGTCTCGATTTTGACATCGGATATTAGAGAACTATGGTGCTCGTCTTAATAGAAGTCTATGTCTGGCGGTATTAGCCAATGCAATTAGTCTTCATAAGACTATCGTAAACTCCCATCGATCAAACTTTATTGAAGGTAAACTTCTCCTTAGGCCGATTATTATGTCTCTAAAACCGTCATCAAAATCAATTTTCCTGAAGGTTCAAGAGATCCATACCTTAGAGGAAGTGTGGTCAGCTGCGGAAATCTTTTATAACATGTCATGACGATCTAAATGGGCGGAAATGGGAGGGCTGTCTTGCTGACCCTTTGCTGTTTTGAGTGAAGAACAGAGATAGCAGGACGTCTAGTAGATCTAATATTTCGCCACTTTTATTCCTCCGTACTTCTTTTGGAAAGAGCCTTTTGTCAGATCACCATTTCCTCAATCTGGAATAAGATTTGTAATTGATAAAATCCCTACTGAGTACGGATACGGACTAAATCCCACTATTTATTCTATCTCTGGATCTGAGGACCTCCCTCTTCTTGATTCAGATAGGTCTGATGTTCTACATCTGCATATTCTGGACGTCAGCATCCCTCTTTGGGGCGGTGTACGTCTTCCCGTATGAGAAGTCATACCTTGTGAAGGAGAGGAAGGCGGACATGTACAGGCTCAGTGTGTACTACGTGTGCAGTACCCTCTGCGACATGGTGGCTCACGTTTTCTACCCCACTATCTTCATGGTCATCATCTACTTCATGGCTGACTTCAAGAGGACCGTTCCTTGCTTCTTCTCGATGTTAGCATCGGTGCTCCTTATTGTGATCACAAGCCAGGTAAAATCTGAATTAGGTCTTTGCTCTATTTATTCTCAATCCGTTCTTCCATGTGAAGGTGATTTAGGGTTTGAGAATAGGTCACAAAAAGAGTGTCCGAGGTGTTTTTATCCCCGAATATGGTTTACGGTTAGTAGCTTATGATTTTACATCTGTAAACGACTTCATTTCAGTAAAATCCTCCGCATTTGATCTCCTTTTACCTGCCCGGGATGGCGATTATGGTTTAAAAAGAGTGCTGAAAGTGACCTTATATCTGGACATGTTTAGGGTTTAAGGTCCAAGGTTTACCTCTGTGTGGACTTTATGTTGAGAAGATCCTGTACCATTATCTCTGCTCATCTTTTTAGGGTCTGGGCTTTGAGGTGGTGGCCGCAGGCTAAGTTTGCAATCCTTGAGATGTCTCATGAATCTGTTTGGCCAGTTCAAAATTAGCAAATTTATACGAAAAGATCACGATGCCCTTTGACTTGATCCCCATGCCCAGGGAGCTGGGGAGCTCTTCGGTGCCGCCATTCTCAGCATAAAGAGAGCCGGGCTCATGGCCTCCCTGGTCCTCATGCTCTTCATCCTCACCGGCGGCTACTACGTTCAGGTGATCCCTTCATCTCCTCCTCCCAACCAGTTATTCCCAGAATCCAAACGGGCCCTCCGATGGCGTTTCTTCTGTTTTCCGTTCACGCAGCACATCCCCATCTTCATGCGGTGGCTCAAGTACGTCTCCTTCATGCACTTCGGCTTCCGGCTCATGCTGAAGGCGCAGTACTCCGGCGACGAGCCGTACGAGTGCGGGGGTCCGGGGGGCTGCCGGCGATTGCAGAGCTCGCCGTCGTTCGACACCGTGAACCTCGCCGGCGGCGTGGAGGAGGTGTGGATTCTCCTGGCCATGGCGCTGGCCTACCGCCTGCTGGCCTTCTTCTGCCTCCGCCGGAGGATAAGCGCCGCGCCCTGTTGATGTATGTATGGCTGCCGCCATGAAAACCGCCCGACTGCTAATATAAGGCGTTACCAACGGAATCATGTCGTATATTTCTCACAACATCATGACAAAACCACCCGTGCGACTGCTAAAGAAGACTGTTGGTATATATCTCACATGGTTTCCGTCTGATGACGAAATCATGTCACATATTTCTCACAAAATCATGACCAAACCAGTCATACGACCGCTAATGAAGACTCTTCATAAATGGCTGTTGACGTATTTTTCACATGCTTTTCATCTAAAGACAAACTCATGTCGTATATTTCTCACAATATCAAGAAAATACCAGCCAACTCATAATGAAGAGTGTTGATATACTTCTCACATATTTTGCATCTGATTACAAAATTATGTCATATATTTTTTTTTCATAAAATCTTGACCAAACCAGCGGTACGACTGCTAATGAAGAATGTTGATATACTTCTCATATACTTTCCTTCTTATGACAAAATCATGTCATATATTTTTTTTTCATAAAATCTTGACCAAACTAGTAGTACGACTGCTAATGAAGAATGTTGATATACTTCTCACATACTTTACTTATGATTACAAAATCATGTCATATATATTTTTTTTCATAAAATCTTGACAAAACCAACGTTATGACTGCTAATAAAGAATGTTGATATACTTCTCACATACTTTGCTTCTGATTAAAAAATCATGCCATACATTTTCTTTTTCATAAAATCTTGACCAAACCAGCCGTACGACTACTAATGAAGAATGTTGATATACTTTTTACATACTTTGCTTCTGATTACAAAATCATGTCATATATTTTTCTTTCATAAAATCTTGACCAAAGCAGCGGTACGACTGCTAATGAAGAATGTTGATATACTTCTCACATACTTTTCTTTCGATGAAAAAATCATGTCATATATTTTTTTTTCATAAAATATTATCCAAACTAGCCGTACGACTACTAATGAAGAATGTTGATATACTTTTCACATACTTTGCTTCTGATTACAAAATCATGTCATATATTTTATTTTCATAAAACCTTGACCAAACCAGCAGTATGACTACTAATGAAGAATGTTGATATACGTCTCACATACTTTACTTCGGATGACAAAATCATGTCATATATTTATTTTTCATAAAATCTTGATCAAACCAGCGATACGATTGCTAATGAAAAATGGTGATATACTTTTTACATACTTTGCTTCTAATTACAAAATCATGTCATATATTTTTTTTTCATAAAATCTTGACCAAACCAGCAATACAACTACTAATGAAGAATGTTGATATACTTCTCACATACTTTGCTTATAATTACAAAATCATGTCATATATTTTTTTTTTCATAAAATCTTGACCAAACCAACGATACGACTACTAATGAAGAATGTTGATATACTTCTCACATACTTTGCTTCCGATTAGAAAATCATGTCATATATTTGTTTTTCATAAAATCTTGATCAAACCAATAGTACGACTGCTAATGAAGAATGTTGATATACTTCTCACATACTTTACTTCTGATTACAAAATCATGCCATACATTTTTTTTTCATAAAATCTTGACCAAACCAGCCATATGACTATTAATCAAGAATGTTGATATACTTTTTACATACTTTGCTTCTGATTACAAAATCATGTCATATATTTTTTTTCATAAAATCTTGACCAAACGAGCGGTATGACTACTAATGAAGAATGTTGATATACTTCTCACATACTTTGCTTTTGATGACAAAATCATGTCATATATTTTTTTTTCATAAAATCTTTGACCAAACCAGCAATATGACTACTAATCAAGAATGTTGATTTACTTCTCACATACTTTGCTTCTAATTAGAAAATTATGTCATATATATTTTTTTCATAAAATCTTGACCAAACCAGCGGTACGACTGGTAATGAAGAATGTTGATATACTTCTCACATACTTTTCTTTTGATTACAAAATTATGTCATATTTTTTTTTTCATAAAATCTTGACCAAACCAGCGATACGACTACTAATGAAGAATGCTGATATACTTCTCACATACTTTCCTTCCGAATACAAAATCATGTCATAGATTTTTTTTTCATAAAATCATGACCAAACCAGTGGTATGACTACTAATGAAGAATGTTGATATACTTCTCACATGCTTTCTTTTGATTACAAAATCATGTCATATATTTTGTTTTTCTTAAAATCATGACCAAACTAGCAGTACAACTGCTAATGAAGAATGTTGATATACTTCTCAGATACTTTGCTTCCGAATACAAAATCATGTCATATATTTTTTTTTTCATAAAATCATGACCAAACCAATGGTATGACTACTAATGAAGAATGTTGATATACTTCTCACATACTTTGCATCCGATTACAAAATCATGTTATAGATTTTTTTTTCATAAAATCATAACCAAGCTAGCGGTACGACTGCTAATGAAGAATGTTGATATACTTCTCACATACTTTGCTTCCGATGACAAAAATATGTCATATATTTGTTTTTCATAAAATCTTGACCAAACCAGCGGTACGACTACTAATAAAGATCATTCTCTTTATTTTGTGGCATATGGGGGTAATTATGAAATCCAATTTAAAGTATCTATGAGTGGTAAAATTTTACATAACAAGGGTGAAAAACCATGTCATATATTTCTCACAAAAGCTTGACCAAACCAGCCGTATGACTACTAATAAAGACCATTCTCTTTATTTTACGTGGCATGAAATCCAATTTGAAGTATCTATGAAATCATTTGTTGTTAGTGCCATAGCCTGACATGTACTATGAGTGGTAAAATTGTTACGTAATAAGGGTGAAAAATAATTAGGAAAGAGGGATCAGCTCTTTCTTGATTATTTGAACTCTCATCCTAGCTAGTTCTTTTATTGCAATGTTTTTGTAGACGTACCATTTCATTTTTGTGAACGTTTCAATTATTTGTTAAATTTTCACGGATTAAAGTTTATTTTTACTTGTTTCTTGAACAGGTATTATGGGTTGGCTTTGATAAGATACAAATTAGTTCTACTTGCTTCAGGCATGCTTTGCTACTTGGCTATGCCAATGGCTTTCAAGTTCTTGATGTCGAGGATGCATCAAATCTCCATGAGCTGGCCTCAAAGCGTGATGGTCCAGTCACCTTCTTACAGGTGCTACCAGTCCCAGCTAGGTCCGATGGTACTGACGGATTTACAACATCCCATCCTTTGTTGTTGCTTGTTGCAGGTTTAGAAACCAATGGTTCGAATATGGCCCAAGGTAGCCACTTGAGTGCATTGGTAAGGGAGACCAGTAATGCTCCTCAGCAAGTGGATTGCATCTCCACCCCAACTGTAGTTCGATTTTTCTCATCAAGGTCTCACAGCTATGTGCATGTTCTAAGGATTCGATCGCCTGTTTACATTGCTCGGTGCAGTCCTCGAGTGGTTGTTGTGGCTCTTGCAGCACAAGTAAGCAGTGAATGATCTACATACCATCAAAACATATAGATTATAACTGGCGTTCGCATTATGTTTTGGGATTTAACCTAAATAGTTGATTTTTGTATGGGGCACTGATGTATTGCTTTTTATGACAGATATATTGTTTTGATGCTGTGACACTCGAAATAAATTCAGTGTTCTTACTTATCCAATGCAAGGACCAGTAGGGACAAATGTTGCCCTTTGTCCAATTGCTGTTGGTCCGAGATGGTTAGCTTATGCTTCCAACAATCCTCTCTGGCCAAATTCAGGACGCCTGAGCACTCAAAATCTTACAACCTCTCCTGGTGTTAGCCCACCAACGTCACCTAGCAGTGGAAGCTTAGTTGCTCGTTATGCAGTGGAGTACAGTAAACAGTTGAGCGGATGGAATTATCAATTTGGACGACATGGGATACAAAAATTTCTCCAAAGATTATCAGGATCTTTTACCCGATGGATCCAACTCCCCTACATCATCAAGTTTTGGCAGGAAAACTGGTAGACTTGGATCTGCGACGCAGCTGAATGAAGTAGATAATGCGGGAATGGTAAATCATGTCACCTGTACCTTTCAGTCGAAATCTTTTCCACCAGATGCACATCACTGGCCCTTTCCAACGATTTTGATATCTTGTTACTCTTGACTCTTTCCGATATCTGCACTATGTTTTGATCCTAGTAGTACTCTTTTGGTGACTGCTTCTGCGCACGGGAACAATATAAATGTCTTCCAGATAATGCCAAACTGTGTACCAAATGGTACAAGCTCCTCTTACTATGATTGGGCTACATCGCACGCCCATCTATACAAGCTATATCGTGGGATATCAACAGCTGTAAGAATCAATATTTTGTAATATCGTATGGTTTAGCTTTTTATTCCCAATCATTATTTAAATATCTGCATAATTTTCTGTTCCAGGTCATTGAGGACATCTGTTTTAGCCATTATAGTCAGTGGATTGCAGCTGTTTCATCCTATGGAACATGTGATATCTGTGTCTTGTCTCCTTTGGTGGTAGTGCTGTCCTCCAGACACAGACTTCTCACAGTGATGGACCTTCACTTGTGTCTACTCTCTCAAGGCCGTGGTGATCTACCTCAACAAACACGAAGGACCACCAGGTCCTTCCTCCTCCACCTGTTGCACTTTCAGTAGTCAGCAGTATAAAGGATGGAAATTCCGGGTCGCTTAATACGGTGAGCAGTATAGCAGCTTCTGCAGCTGGAAAGGCACCTGCACCATCCGGTGCTGTTGCCGCTGTCTTCCACAGGTCTGTGGATCATGATTCTCGGTCAGCTAATTCGAAGGCTAAGGCTTTGGAGCACCTTTTAGTACTCTCCTTCAGGCCATCTGGTTCAACATGGACCATTACCTTCCTCAGTTGCAGAGTCATGTGACAGCAATTCAAAAACAGGATCTGGCCCCTTTTTTCAGGCTAAAGATGAAGAACTGCGGGTGAATGCTGTACCAGTTCAAGGGTGGGATGTATGTAGAAGCTTGATTTGGCCGCTGAAAGAAAATAATACATTTCTAGCGCTAGATGTGATTGTGAAGAGCATGCGGAAGTGCTCGTGGATATCACTCATTGCGAGGATACTGGCCAAAAACTCCTCCTCCTCTCCTAGCAGTGCTGCTTGTAAGGATTTTGTGAGAACTCATGAAAAATTTCACTGGTACTTGTCAAATCCGAAAGTCCTTGTTAGCTCCGGGGGGGTACAAATATGGCAGAAATTCGAGGTACTCTACGGAAATTGAACTGTCTATAAGATGTTTTCATAACTTTTGTGGATGAATATGTTTCATTTTCTTTGACAGATCCAATTCTATTCTATGGATCGTCAAAGCAGCGAAAGATTCACCTGTGATTCACCTGTTGAGAAATTGAAATTGAAAATAGTTCTGTTGTGAGGTTGAAACAAAGAGGAAGGATCTACTTCCTGTTTTTGGCCATCGAAGGTACGCTAATCCTATCGATGGCGTGATCCTCTCTGTAATCACAATCTTCTCTTGGAATTTTTTGGGTAACTGAGACTAGCATTCCATATCCGCTGTGGAATTCATAACGTAACATTTGTACTGAAAACATGTCGTTGTCTGGATGAAATATGTTGTGGTGCTGACGCTAGCTTATGGCTGTGTCATCCTTAGAGTACCCAAATATCATTCATGCAAGACAAATCGGTTAATTCCTTTTAAGGTTTCCTTTATTTTTTTCCGGAAGAATATTATCAGTATTTCTTTTTAAAAAAATTAAATGTCATCAGTATGACCCTTGTGAGCCATGAATTGGATTTTTTCTCTTTCATGTGGCTCAAAAAAAATGCAAGTTTTATCAGTCTGATCACTGAGTTGGATTTGTTAAACCGTGTCATACAGACGACTTCCATTCCGCCAACCATTCAGTATTTTACAAGGCCTGGGAAAACTAGCTCTAAAGATGTGTGAGGCGTTTTGGGATCTGCTGGCCTAGGCAATATGATTTTTGTGATTCAGTGGTTAGTTGATATTATTGATCTATGATTGGATCCAGGCAATCAGGAAGACTTGATGTTGGGTCAGCCAGGAACCTCAAAAAATACAAAATGTTTCTAGAAATTACGACTTATTTATGTTATTTAGAAGATGAAGAATTTATAATATATATATATATATTATTCTACTGCAAATTAATAATGCCAGCATCAAATGTGGTCGAATTAGAGAGCAGTGAGCTGGAGAGTGGCCATGGTTGAACAACAGAGGTGAATGGCAAATGAAGATGGGTGTGGAAGAGGACTTGATTGTCAGTTTGAGTATGTGCAGAGAAGTGAATTTCAGCCAGTCCATTACTACCAGGGCGAATTAGAATGGTGTTGGTGCTGGTTTGATTTGGTTGAAATATACACCAGATTTTTTTTCTTTAAAATAAAATTTACTATAAAAAAGGATTATAAGACTTTTCTAGTCTTCACTTCCTTTACTGATTAGGGAGAGTGAAAGGGTTACCACAGCAATTGAGAAGACAAGTTTTTTGGTCCCTTGGTCTTGTCGTTATGAAGAAAATAAGTTTCTCCTGGCCTCTTCACTCCCCCAGTCTCCACATGCTGCTTGGATGTGAGGGTAGTGAAAAGAATGAAGAAGACGATTAAAAAGCTGAGAGTAGGAAAACCTGTGTACATTAAAGGCCATGGCAGCCATCTTCGCCTAAATAAGTCTCATTTAATGAGATTGAACGGTTAAATATATACTCAAAGCTTTGAATGGAAATTCTTATGATAGAAAGAAATATTCTACTTGTGTGGTTGGTTTTCATATACCATTTGACCTGGTTGGATCCTTGATCATTTAATGTACCGACCTTCTCTTTTTTTTTTCTTAGAGCCAAGAGTTCTGTGGGTCTTTCAGTATTTGGCACAGATTGGTTCATGGAACTTAGATGGTCCGTAAACTTTTCATTCCTTTTTCTTTTCAAACCAAACTAATAATACCACGCGTGCACCTCTTATAGATTCAGCGACAGGTTTCTGGATTCTGCTGAATCATTCATTCACTGTGTGCCAGCCGATAAATTTGAGGCCGCGGTTGGTTCTTGTTGATGAAAATCTTTGATGGGTTCAGTCAATCAGTCTGTTCCAGATTTTTCTCGCTATGATTCGTATCGTTTTCTTCTATTCTTGTTTGCCAACCGATTTCATTATCTGCTATTTATAGAAAATTGCCCAAAATCTAATCATATCAGAGAAGGAGAGTGAGAGAGGGAGAGTGGGCTGTGCCCATAGCAGCCTTGGCGTCTGGGCTGAACTGGTAGGATGAATTTTTTAACTTCGGGCTCTATTTCATTCAAGCTCAGAAAAGAAGGGTCCACGCTGTTGACCTTCTCAGTTATGCAGGTCAAAAGGTAGACACATTTCTTGTGTTGCATTATCATACATGATACGACAGAATATTCTAGAAGAAAAAAACGAGCCCAATGAGAAAGAAAGCATCTGCCTTTGTAGATCTCTCAAAATCTCTAAAAAGTCAAAGGCATGAGAGATAATACCTAGAGATAAATTAGAAATGCCCTTTTGAGAGATGTCAGCTGACTTATTGCTGCCATGAATGATTCTTCTGCCTGATGACTCTTTTTTTATCGTTTCCGGGTACGTGAGGATGCTTTTATCTACTCTGTTAATTTGTTTTCGCAAAGTCAACGTGATAGATTTCCTTGTTCTGGACTAACCAAAGCTTCTGAGGAGCGTGGTGACATTGCAAACGATTCGAGGTTGACTGATGTGTGAAACTCTCTTAATGTTGCCTATCGGATGAATGAATGAATGTCCTGGATTATTGAAGAGGAAGGAAACAAGTACTGAAGCAATCTTTCAGCCTTGCAAGTGACGTTTGATTTGACTCTCAAATGTACCAGGAGAAGAGGTCAGGGATCCTTGTGCCAATAATTGGAAGACTTTGCCTTGGTTGTTCTTAACATGTAATTACGAAGTTCTAATTGAAAAAAGAAAATTGATATATTTTAATTTCATCAAATCTAGTTATTTTTTATTTCTCTATGGTAAAAATAAAAATAAAAATTGCATTGATCTGATCACCTTCAGAAGCAGTTGAACTCGGAGAAAAATCCATTGGCAACGGAGAGGAATAACCTTGTGGTTTATATGCAGACCACCAGCGGCCTGTCTGCAGAGAGGATTCTACCGTAGTCTCGGAATTGGTCGACGGGTGGAGGACATGGCGACGGAGGGGATCACGCACAGGACCGTGCCCGTGAACGGGATCAACATGCACGTCGCGGAGAAGGGGGAAGGGCCGACGGTGCTCTTCATCCACGGCTTCCCGGAGCTGTGGTACTCTTGACGCCACCAGATCGTCGGCCTCGCCGCCCGCGGCTACCGCGCCGTCGCCCCCGACCTTCGCGGCTTTGGCGACACCGACGCGCAGCCGTCGGTGGAGGCGTACTCCATCTTTCACCTCGTCGGCGACCTCGTCGCCCTCATCGACGCCCTGGGCCAGGAGCAGGTGCGAGGAACCCTTCCTCTTCAATCAACTAACGAGAAGACCTATCTAGAAGGAACCACGCCACGAGAGATTGAGCTTTGCATCGCAGGTGTTCGTCGTGGGGCACGACTGGGGGGCCATCGTGGCGTGGCATCTCTGCCTGTTCAGGCCCGACAGAGTGAAGGCGCTGGTAAACATCAGCGTCGCCTTCTCGCCGCGCAAGCCCAACGCTAAGCCGGTCGAGACCCTCCGCTCAATCTACGGAGACGAGCACTACATAGCCAGGTTTCAGGTTCGTGAACCCACCCTTTCCACAATTTCTCTTCCCATCCTCATCACCTATGTTCTTGCGCGAAAATTCGAAGACAATCGGCCCCTTTTTATGTGAATGTCGGCCGTTCCGACGAATTCTGATCATAATTTCTCGGAAGATACAGTAGATGTCCTCCGTTCCTCATTGTAGAGAGTTTTCAGGAACCCGGCGAAGCAGAGAAGTTGTTTGCGAAACTAGGAACGGAATTTGTGCTCAGGAGGCTCTTCGCGTATCGGACACCTGGTCCGTTCTTCTTGACGGCGGAGTTATTGGGCTCACCCGACCACCAAGTTCCTCTGCCTCCTTGGCTCTCAGAGGAAGATATTCGCTATTTTGCAGACAAATTCGAGCAGAGTGGATTCACCGGGGGAATCAACTACTACCGATCTCTAGACAGGTGACTTGGCTGAATCGACCGCTGTTCTAGAGTTTAGCACCGTGATCATCTCAGAATGGCTCTCTGATTTTCGGTGCGGGGCAGGAACTGGGAGCTGTCGGCGCCGTGGACGGGAGCGCAGGTCAAAGTGCCCACCAAGTTCATCGTCGGTGACCTCGACTTGAGCTACCACACACCGGGTGTCCAGAACTTCATCCACAAGGGCGGGCTGAAGAAGTTCGTCCCCTTGCTGGAGGAGGTGGTGGTGATGGAGGGAGTCGGCCACTTCCTCAACCAGGAAAAGCCCTCTGAGACCACCGACCACATCTTCGACTTCATCAAGAATTTCTGACGCACCACGGCGCCGCGAATTCGAAATAAAGCTCCTTTCTTTAAGCTGTTACCTGTTGAAACGGCATTGAACCCAGATCCTGCCTGTAATATGGGTCAACCCCATTTCCGCACGCCAGTCGAGATCTGATCAGATGGGTTGACCTGATGAACTTCCTTCCATGGTGTCCGATGGAGTAAGAATCTCCCAGTCTATTCTCGATCTGGTCGCCATTAAGCCAGCCTTGCCCCAGATTCTCGGAGCTTAAAAATATCGAACTGCTTCAAGTAGGAACGCTTCCGCATCATCTCTCTTCTGCAAGTGAAATGCATCGTCATGGCATGAACATCAACATGAACCCCTGCACAGCAATCTCGTGGGGAGAAATAAGTTCTTGATTTTTTTTTTAATTTCTTTTTAAGAAATAGGTTCTTGATTGCTAGGCAGACTCACTCCGCGCTCAGACTCGGCTGCTTGGGTTTTTTGCTCATTAAATTTTTGTTCCTTGATAAATAAATACCCAACAGACGCAAACCATATGGGAAATATATCTGTGAATGTATTGATAATAACCCTAATAGCAGTCAAATGATTAATTTCTACATTAGATCAGTCATGTACTTTAACTTTAGCAAAGTGGGTGTCAGAAAATATGGTCAACGTATTGAAGATATGGTCAGAAATAAAACAAATTGAAGCATAATTTGAGTAATCACTCTGATATTGCGCATAAAATCCTATAGCTTTAGAGTAAGAGGAAGACGAGCCGTAGGATAAGAAATGGACGGATTAAATTGATGGGGGGGATTTCAGAGGAATACGACTTGTTCTATGGTAATTTCGTAAATTTATGTGGTTAAGGTGGTGTATATGATGAAGAAGCCTGAGAATCCTCGCAGAGCTGCATGTGGATTTTGAAATGAGCCGGGATTGGATCCAGGGAAGACCACCGGGAGCTGCCGGTGAGTCGGCGTTGCGCGCGCAATCGTCCGCAGTAGCCACCGGTGACTGCCGGTTATTTTCCTGCCTCCCCCCGCAGGATTTTATGGTTCTTATAATTTGTCTCCTGCCTGGTCTTCTTCCTCCCCGCCTCCGGCGATTATATGGCCATTGTCCAGGGCGGGTCTTCGCGCCGGTGAATTCTCAGCGGAGGAATCCGCCCATCTGATGCTAATTCTGCATATGAGCTGGCCGAGATCTGGATCGGGTGTCGTTTGGTGCCAGGAGCTCCTCGAGATCGGGATCGCCAGCTAATTGCTGCCTGCTTGATGAACACTCCGACTCTGAGGCAGCCGAGCCCTCCGACAGGAAATATTACTTTTCTTTTACATTTTCTTGATCTCCGATGTTCACTATGGTGTTTTTTGGAATGAGCTGGGGGAAGCGGATGTCCTTATGGTGTTGTAAGACGACTTCGTCTGTGGATTCTTCCATTCTGAAGTGGGTTGTTTGTATAACTTGTTCTGCGAGGGATTAGACGCCGTAGTTTTGGTTTATTAGTGTGGGTTTTGTAATATCTAGAGTTTCTCTGCGCTGGAAGGTATCGTAGGTTTGGAGTAGGGATCTGTTAGCACAATGCAGGGCTGCAGAGCAAGATGCAGGGTGGGATTCCTGGTCGTGTTCTCTCTATGGATGGGGCTTGTAGCTCTTTACGGTCTGTTGAAGCCTGCTCCGAGCAGTTGTGTGATGACATATATGTATCCGACATACATTCCTATCTCGACAGCCGCAAATATTTCGGCCGGCAAGTATGGGCTGTTCCTGTACCATGAAGGCTGGAAAGCAATAGATTTCAATGAACATCTGCAGAACCTTAATGGCGTTCCTGTTTTGTTTATTCCCGGGAATGGTGGCAGCTACAAGCAGGCAAGTCCATTTTGAACGTTTGGTGATATTCCTTGTTGAACAAGTCCTGAATATAGCTTAAAATGGGGGAGAATTGCCAGTTTTGGTCATTACATGCATCTTTTGTGGACTTTCTTGTATAATAATACTTCAACGGGATTAGAGGCTCTTGGAATGTTGCAAACATAGATGGCTTGAAGGACTGTTGTACCCCGTGATCACATCTTTTCCCTTCAATTTTTTTTCCAATGCAATGGAAGAATGTAACCTTCATTGAAAAAGTCAAAAAACAGATGCCCTATTGCAAGTGGTTCAAAGAAACATCCTCTTTAAGCATCAAAGGGCTATGATTTTTGACCTATCTGAGGGTCACAGTGCTTCCTGTTAGATAAACAAAGCCCTAGTTTTTGAGTCGTAATGAGACTTGCAGTCTACCGTCCTAAAGAATCAAAATATTTACATGCATTCAACCAGAATGAGCCTTCATCCCATGCAGATCCAAATGCTCAATAGTCTGTTGCCAGCTTTGGGTACCAAAAGCAGAGTCTAGAGGCCACACAAAATAATATAAATAAGCCAATGTGTACACAGTTACAGCTTCATTACGAAAGGAAAAAAAATGAAATTCAATGTGTTTATTCATCTTACACAACCTGTAGAAATCATGCTGAAAGGCAATGTTTCTTGCTTACTTTCCTTTTTCTTCCTTTTTTTGCTTGATTCACTAATTTACTTGAGGGACAACGCCTCTTTTACATCAGCATTTTCTCTATTACTTTATTTATTTTTATTTCAGATGTTGCACAGACACCCTAGCCTCCCTCAAATGAGAGACAACGATGGACTGTTATAATTTATGCATGTGCTCCTACAATATTCATAAAATGAGACTATATATCCGTTCCCTCATTATCATAAACATTGCTCTTGAAAACTTTTGCAATATCGTCACTCAGTACTTTTTGCTCCTACCCAGTGGAGTAAAATCCATTAGTGTTATTATGCATTTTCCTTGCATCAAAATATTCCAATTCCTTAAGAATTCATCTCTTCTAATGTCTTTCTAAACCATTATGTTTCCATTTTTAGCATTTTTTTATCCCTTTTTTATAAATTTGAAACTTAAAGATAATTTCCTGTTAAAATTGAGCGGATCACATTCAAGTGTACAACCAACATCCACTTTCATTGTCCTCAATGTATTCAATTTCCAAATGATTTTTAAGATTTTAATATTTAACTTTTTTGAAGACTTAAAAAACCATAGCGTTTATCCTCTTTAAAATCCTTAGATGTTTGTAAATCATTTACAAACACAGATATAATGGACAACATCAAGACAAGCTAGATGCATATCCATTTCGAAGATTTCAATTTTGTTTTTGAAACATTTTTTATTATTTAGCACCCAATTCATGTAAAATTTCTCCAGTTACTGGGCTCGCATCCTGATTAATGCGAAGTTGATAAGGAAGGCTTGATATTGGGATTTGAGGGTGTTTGAATGGAAATTTTCAGGTTGAGCACCTGCTCAGTGTCATTTTCTGCTAGAGGGGCGGTTATAAACTTTCACAATTGAGGGTACTGGCTAGGGTCAAACCATAGGTGCTTCCTAGAACTTGTACAATATAGGAGAATCATGCTAAATCCAAATTCAAGGGGCAGTTCGTCGCATTGGGCTGTGACACATTGCTGGGGCGTTGGTAGGTGAGGGATGAGCAATACCTTCTTTCATATTTTTGGTGTGAGCTAGGTAGTTAATAAGTTTTCACTGCCAAGTTGGTAGCTTATATTGCTTTTGAATAGGAGCATCCTGGGGTTTGGGGGGTTGGTTGGATGTGGGGATTCTTGAGAACTCATACACACGACCTGTTTTTCTCTGACTTTTTATTGGGACTATTGACTTGAAAAAAAATGATTATCCAATTGTCGTTTGGCTTGAAAACCCAATGTGCTGTATCTCATGATAGTCAAACCATATCGGATTGTCAGCAAATCATGTTGCGCATGTTGTTATGTAGTCCTATCATTTGTTAACTTGATCAGACTTCAACGTGAAAGAAGAGGTGTAGCAAGTAATATTCTTGAATAGGTTCATAGTTTCTTAGAACCATTAAAGTGCCTTGTGTCTTAAAAGTTTTGACTTGTGTTTCTTGGTTTCTTATACATGCTTGTGTCTGACCCTGCCACACTGCTTTGGAAGGACTGGGTTCTCCCAAGTATTATGTTCCCATTACCTTGAGAGTTGTGAAAGCCTACTGTAACTGAAGAACAACCAAAAGTTGAGAAATCCGTGAGAATTCCAATTCAACTCATGACAAGAAAGTAGACATTAACTCGCCTTTGGTACATTAATATGATCCATCATATCATTCTTTTCTCTATGGGCATGAGTTTCTATTTGATGTCATTCTTTCATAACTTCCTGTAATTGAAGAATCTATCTTTACTGGCTTTTCGTGAATTTAAAATCTCGTTTTATTTAATGTACCATGAAAATGCGTCTCTGACGCTTTACACATTGATCCCAAGATCGGATTGTTCAGTGAATCTATCTAGGTCGTCCCTTAGGCAATGAATAAATGTGTTCTGCCTATTTTTTTCATTTTAGTCTCCTCATCATCTATGTTACACAAGCTTTATCAGGTCCTTTCCTTGATTTTTCCTTAGTTTCATATTTCTTGTGTTTTGAGTTTTAATGACTTGTGATCTTCTTTCAGGTGCGTTCTTTAGCAGCAGAATCTTCTAGGGCCTTTCAAGGAGGGCCACTTGAGCCCAGTTATTACAAGGAGGCTTCTCTTACAATTTCAGGAGAAAGAAGTAATGCGTTGGAGGGTCAAGATGAGCTCTCATTTCCATCTTCCAGTCAGTATACTCGAAAGCTTGATTGGTTTTCAGTGGACCTTGAAGAAGAGCATTCAGCACTAGATGGTCAAATACTTGAAGAGCAGACTGAATACGTTGTCTATGCTGTACACAGGGTATTCCTTTATTTGTTTCTGTTTCAAAAGTCCATAAAGGCGTCCTATCTTTATTGCCGTGTTCAGGTTTCAGAAAAACTTGAAAATAATATTGCAAAACATCTATTCTTTAGCATACTGTAGTTTTTTCTCTTTTTGCTCATGCTTTTCCCTTTTTTCTACGTCCCTTTTTTCTCTATGATGTTTTAACAGGAAATTTCAATGGATCAATGTTCTTACTCTTTGGTATGAACTTGCTATGCTATCTATACGAGGTTTAGAACGAGAAATTATCATAATATGAACATCTGAATTATTTTCTGTTTAAAAAAACAAAATCCATTGATCTCACATACCTTGAGTAGTCAACATTAAATATAGGTTGATTGATTATTTCTTCTTTGTTAAATTTGTTGACGGCTGTAAACATTTTGGCCTTTCAGATTGCAGACTATTATATATAGCTATTGTATAATATCTGAAGAGTTTGTTGTAGAATCCAGTCCAGCGTAGAACGTTTTGTTTATTTTTCCTTCAACAATATTCGCATTAGTGTTTGGAGGTCACATCATTTTTAATCTCTTATTTAGAACCTCTATTTCCTAAATAAGCATGTCATTTTTTTCTTAGAAACTATGAGTGATAAGTAGAACTGCTGTTTGGGGCGCGCTACAAATTTGATCGAGTGCATCCTCTCGGTTCTTTCCGCAACTGTCTTGTCTCTGTATCTGAATAATTTTTGTTTACATTTACTTTGCTAGATATTGGATCAATACAAGGAATCCATGGAAGCACGTTCAAAACGTGGTGAGGTCCTTCAGAATTTGCCTACTAGTGTGATATTAGTGGGGCATTCTATGGGAGGTTTTGTTGCTAGAGCTGTTGTTGTCCACCCACAGTTAAGAAAGTCATCTGTTGAAACTCTTGTGACACTTTCAAGTCCTCACCAGTGAGTACAGCTAACACTTATTTTATTTGGGATTAGCTATTACCGAGTTTATTTCTTTGCTGAGATTAAACATATATAATCGTCCAAGTCATCTCCTTTATGTATATTTATCCAGGTCACCTCCTGTCGCATTACAGCCATCACTGGGACAACTCTTCTCAGAAGTGAATAGTGAATGGAGAAAAGGATATGAGATCCAGACTACACGTGCAGGACATTTTTTGTCTGGTCCTAAACTGTCGCATGTTCTTGTGATCTCTATAGCTGGTGGCGTATATGATCATCAGGTTGCATTTTAGCCTTGACATATTTTGTGGTATATTTTCATTAGCCACCTGATTTTTCAAGCATGCTATATGACATCCTACAATCTACGTGCAAGAGGCCAGAAAAAAAAAATTACAATGTAACCTCTTAGAATGTATCACACTAGTACATGCTTTACATATGTTAGCTTTACATATGTTAGCTTCCTTGTGAAGACTATAAATAATCGTGGAGCTGGTAGCTGAAAATGCTTTTCTGGTCTCTGTTTCAGATCAGGACAGAATTGACATCTCTTGAAGGAATTGTTCCTCCGACACATGGTTTTATGATAGGTACCTCAAGTGTGAAGAATGTATGGCTTTCAGTTGATCATCAGTCTATTCTATGGTGTAATCAACTTGTTATACAGGTATAATTTGCAGCAATAGTCTATCAGAGATGCCGTGAATTCACTTACCAATGGACCAAATATTACTGCAGATCTCCCACACCCTTCTTAGTCTGATAAATCCAGGAAACGGACGACCATTTCCAGGCTCACAAAAAAGGTTGGCTATATTTACTAAAATGCTTCAAAGTGGTGTCTCTCAAAGCTTCCACAGAACTGGGGATCTGCAGCCATCCTTGCTCGAAAATGGTGCTCTCATCAAGAATGCAAGGGATCCTGCTGGTATAACATCCTCACACCCTTCTGGAAACGCAGCTATATGCTTTATTATACTGACCATGGGATAAGAACCAGGAATGGATAATTCTATTGACTAAGCACTTCTCAGTTTGAGGAAGATTGCTACTGTTTTGAGAGCAGCAGAAAAAATATATGCTGTCATACCTGTCATGTCGAACAATTTAAAACTCTTCCTGGCTTATGGGTTAAAAGAAAAATTACACCGAAGTAATATATAGCAAATAATGTTTAAGAAAGTTGCATCCTGTTGATATTTTGACATATATATCTATCGTCTGGAAAATTGATATTTTGACCATCTGTTAATTAGTTGATTGATTCGTTGCTACCTCTGTTGGAATCTATGGGACATAGTTGGAGGGTAGCAAAAGTAAGGATCCACTTTAATGTGGTAGAGAATATTGGGAGATATTTTTCAGGTACAGATATAATTGAAGGAAAGAATCGAAAGATGAGAATTCTTCTGACTATTTTCCTTGCTGAAGATTCTCAGAGAAGAGTGGTTCCAACTATCAATATAAATAAGCTCAGAAGTAACCAACTATCTTAGTAAGATTGCAGAGCAGAAAACTAAGAACGTTTTGTGGCAAATAAAGTTAGGGGATTAAATAAGTTATGTCATACTGGTTTTTGTGTTAAGTCAGAGTTACCATATCAATTTTTTAATCAGATGTACAATGCCTTTTTACTTTTGATGATGAGATTAATTATACGTCTTACTCATATTCTCCATGCATAGAAGATTGAGCGGGTATTAATTACCCTAGATCAGTAGTTAATGAGTTTCGTAACCTATGATCTTCCTTTCAGGATCTCAATTAATGGCTCATACTTCTTGTCCACCACCAGTTCATTGGCCTGATGATGGCCTCGAGAAGGATCTGTATGTTCAATCTCGTACTGTCACTGTCTTGGCAATGGATGGAAGAAGGAGGTGGTTGGACATAAATAAACTGGTAAGCTCACCTGAAAGTTCAGAATTCTTGAATCAATATAATTAGAATTTTTATCGAATTTTATATTATATTCTTATATCAATTTTGTATAGATGACAAATAAATTTAAACCCTTGAATTCTTGTATATTTTGTTCCATCAGATTTTTTGGCTTTTCTTCTTCAAATTTGTCCTCGTAGCCTGTTTGTCTTCTTTATGCATTCTACCAGTGGCACCTGTCGATCACCGTGAATAATTGGTTTTGCATTATTCTTTGGCTGATATTTTGTGGCACCTCGTAGATGACTTTGATTCCGTGTGATTCCAGGAAAGGTTAATTCCTAGGAAACTTGACTTTTTCCTTCGTGGTTTTTGAAAATTTAGACAATAAACCATTTCTGACGTAGGTTATTGCACTGTGCCTTCATCTGTAACATTATACTCGCTTACAGATTTTGCAAATAGCAATGCTAGTTGATGTGGTTTCTTTAGCTGCGTAAGTGTAGACTGTTGTATGATAACATGCAGGTTGCTCTTACATTGTCCCAAATTTTTGCTCTTTTTGTGGGATGGCAAGGCTGTTCTCCCTATAATTTGCACCACATATGGCATGACGTAGGTTATTGCACTGTGCCTTCATCTGTAACATTATACTCGCTTACAGATTTTGTATATAGCTATGCTTGCTGATGTGGTTTCTTTAACTGTTTAAGTGTAGACTGCTGTATGATAACATGCAGCTTGCTCTTACATTGTCCCAAAAATTTGCTCTTTTTGTGGGATGGCAAGGCTGTTCTCCCCATAATTTGCACCACATATGGCATGACCTATTTTATTTAAATGTATACTTTTTCTCATAACCTCAATATCTTATGATACTATTTGCTCATTAAGATTCTTAACTGTTTAGGGATCAAACGGTCAAGGCCACTTCATTTTGGTTACAAACCTTGCTCCCTGCTACGGGATCAGGCTCCATCTTTGGCCGGAAAAAAATAGAACATCTGAAATGGTTTTCCCTGAGACTAAGAGTATTGTTGAGGTGACCTCGAGGATGGTACACATTCCAGCTGGGCCCGCTCCAAGGCAGGTACACACTTTAAACATAGGTGGTTCCCTTCAGGTTTTCTCCTTGAACTATCATGTTATAAAGATGTAGTCAGTATCAGGTCTGACTGATGTCAATTAAGAGACAATGTTCAAATCTTTGGAGAATGCTATATTTTGGTGTCATCATTTTTATATTGGAAACTCATATGATTATCATTTTTTATTGCTGTTGCACCAGATTGAACCTGGTAGCCAGACTGAACAGGCACCTCCATCTGCTTTTATTCAGTTGGATCCTGAGGATATGCGTGGTTACCGATTCCTGACTATTTCAGTTGCACCACGCCCGGTATTTCTGTCTTTTCTCCCCATGCTGCCCCCAGACCTTGTTTCATCAGAACTGTTTTACATGTTACTATGTTATCCTGCATCTCTCTTATTGGAACTATGCACGTACGTGTTGTTTTGTTCCCAAAAATATTCGGCATGGCTGACTTGGGTTGCCTCCTTTGTGAGATGTTGTCTCTTCTTGTTGGTTGAGGTACAATCACGGTATACAAGATAGGCAAGATCATGCGTTGCTTAGACAGAAATAGGTATTCTCTTTGGTTGTGTGACTTTTATTGAGTCTTGTGTTCAGCTCTGGCACAACTACACGGGGTTGATTTGGTGGTGGTGCTCAGGACTTTTATTGGATTCATGAGAATTCGGGTGGGTAATGACTTTGGAACATTTAATAACCAGCTGATGACACGTGTTACTGTCCCAGTGGGTTGGAGGCAACGAAATATGGAGAGAATTACTCTAGTAACATGTTTTGGGTCTCTTTCTTATTTCTCTGAATCTTCTTTAAGAGGCCTTTTTTGTACTGTTGTTTACGCAATTTTAATCCTACTAGTATTAGTATTTAAAAGTATTTGAATTAAATGCGATTAACGAATGCAGCTGTGTCATTTTTCATCCAATATATGAAAATGTGCGATTTTTTTCTGCAGACTGTTTCAGGTAGACCTCCTCCTGCTGCGTCAATGGCAGTAGGACAGTTCTTTAACCCAAAAGAAGGGCAGGTCGAGCTGTCACCTATGCTACTGCTTCGCACCATCTACTCTCAAGAGGTTCGTCACTCAGCGTTATTTGCCGAAGGAAGGCCTTAGCACATCTTGATTTATATTCATTTTGGAACGTTTCAACCTTATGTTTTTTATCTTTATAATTTCCCAATGCTTTGATTCTGCAGGACATATTTTTGAGTGAAGATCACCCACTGCCTTTTAACCTGTCATTCTCATTAAGTTTAGGACTTCTCCCAGTGACTTTGTCTGTGGGAACAGTGGGTTGTGGAATAAAAGCTTCAACTCTTCATATTGAAAAACAGGCTGGAGATGTTGAACATAGCAGTGAGTTCAATTTTGTCCCACCCCTCCTCCTAATGTTGTCCATGATTTTTTTATGATTGATCTTACGGCTCTTCATTTTTCAGAGATAAATTGAGAGAAGAATTTTTTTCAGCATCGTTTCTGATTATAATATACTATCTTCTACTTACCGACTCGTATTTGTGAAACTTTGGTAGAAAGCTCAGGATTGAATCTAAAGGGAGAACAAGTCCCCAGAAATGAAACCCGTGACTGTCTATTTCAGTGTATAATTTTGGCAATAGCTAGCATCGCCATTCCACATGGGTTTTCATTACGTGATTGACTGCCTTAATACTAATGAATGTTTAATAATGAACAAAACTGGTTCATTCTCTTTGAGACTTTTGGGCCACTATGAATTATCTATAAATTATATTTTTATTTTGTCTTTTGTATGAACCTTAACTAGTGTTTGTTGTTTTACCATTCTTCCATTAAATGAAAAAATGAGCATTCATCTATTACTTTTGTTAGAAGGCCACGAACTCAGACTCATGACATGTATAGTTGACTCTAACATTATTTTTTTCGGAAGATAGAGGGTAAAAAATAAGGCAGATTGTAGTTTTTTGGTTGGTTGCTTTTTAAAGGACCATACTATCAGATTGGATGTGCTTTTAAAAATTGCCCACCTCCTAATTTATTAGTAGCTTTTCTAGCATTTTGCTTTAAATCAGAGCTCTAAACTGTTTGTTGAACATGTAGACCTCAGCTAGCATATGACTTTTAGCCACTCAATTGAGTGCTCCATCAGGATTATCAGTGTTCTTATTTAGTTGCGCTTCCCCCAGTATCAGTATGGCAGAGGAAGAAAACCCTTGGTAACGCTTGGTTCCATGCTCTGCACCCACTTCCCATGATGCATAGACAGAACAGAACGGGCGGGCTATCCTGGGTCTCTTTTAACAGATGTGCTATCCATTGGTTCTCGTGCATACAAATAAGTAGGCCTATTCCCAGGTCTGTGTTACAAAGTACACTGAAGTGTTTCTCATTGTAGACCTAGTGATCATGGTTTTCATGGATGCTAATCTGTCAGGATTCCAAGGTGAAGTCCAAAAAATTTGATTGCCTTGATTATCTTATCCATCTTTCTGGCGCTTAAATTAACATGAGTTTTTTCGTGATGTGAAAATTCTCGTTTTAGCCTATGAAGCGACAAAGCAGCCACTCTTAGTGGGTCTGGTTTACCACCCACTGGAACATTTATTTTTCAGATTTAGATTTAGCATTCTGCATTTCAGTTTCCCCGCATATAGGATTAGTTTTTTAACTCGTGCAAATTTGAATGAAATCGTAAATTCTTTTAGGACTCAGTGCAATAAATATTTTTTCCCCTACTACTGATTAACTTGTTTGTGGTAATAGAAGTTTATTATGATCTACTGTTGGTTTAAAAATATTTTTTGTGCCTTTTAAGTTGTGATGTCCAGTAGTGTGCTTGATCTATTACATGCATCATATGCTGATGGTTTTCTAGTTTCATATTGTCTATTATATGGTTGCTTTGTGGATGATCAAAGATTACATCATAAAGGAAGATACTAACAAAAACTGTTGTTAGAAGTGCAGGCCTCTGTAAGCTGCGGTGCTTCCCACCTGTTGCTCTAGCTTGGGATGCCATGTCGGGTGTACATATTGTTCCAAATTTATATTCCGAGATAATTCAGGTGGATTCTTCACCTGCAAAATGGGGTTCGAATGCGGAGTCTGATAAAACTACATTGTTGCTGCTGGTATGGAAGCTTCACCTAATCTGTAATATGTTATAGCCTGTAGAAAGCTATTTGAGCATGTAATTTAAAAAATTAGAATACACAATGTCATCATATAATTTTAAAAATTAAAATTAAAAAACCAATAAATGAACCTGGAATGGAGAATAAAGGGGGAGAGAGAGAGAGAGAGAGGATGGAGAGAGGGGGTGCACGAGAGAGAAGAGAGATGAGAGATGAGAGAGAGAGAGAGAGAGAGAGAGAGAGATCGTCACCACCGTTGCCCAATTGACCTATCTCTGGTTTTGTTCAGTCTACTTAAATGATACTTGATCCGCGGCCAAAACAGGTGTCTTAACATCATTCTATCAAAAAATTGCAAAACATTTTAGGCTTTTCTTGGAGCATAAAAAATTTGATCAATTTGGTGAAATGAAGCCATCTTCATCCATTTCTACAGGTGGATCCGCATTGTTCGTATAAAGTCAGTGCTTCTGTTTCATTGTCTTCTGCTGCAAGCAGGTTCACTCTCTTATATTTTTCGCAGGTAATCTCTCAGAAAATTTGAAAATCGAAACTGAATATATTCAACCACTGGACAGCCTTTGCTCATACCAACTGCTTTAGATCTTTATAAATAGGAAATAATGTTGGCACTTTTGAACGTCTACAATGAATATTCATTCTTTAGTATGCATATTTCTTTGACATTCGGCAAATGATAACTATGTGACTGAAGAAAATTAATGTCATCTTTAACTGACGCGATTCTATAGATTTAAGTCATGATATGCTGGAAGTTGAGATCGAGACAATAACTTATCAGGATTTCCTGTATACTCCTATTATAGTTTATAAGTTATTCGTCCATCAGCATTTTTGATAATTTAGTATAATCATTGTGACAAAGTTCTCCATGATCCATTATTCGTAAAATAGTAAAAAATAGCTAAGTAAACATTGGGATATTTTTCATGTATCACCATAATGAGGATAATCTATGCAACAAAAGGATAGTCTTCTAGACACATTCTGTATAAATTTATATTTCAAAAAGGATATACTTCTTATTGAAAGACAAGAAAAAGGTATGGTCAGCAAAAGACATTAGGAAAAAAGGTTATAAGGTTAATTCGAATGAGGTGACAGAATATGTGATAGAAAATACAATCAGAATGGTGGGAAGTTGACAGGAGTGGTTTCAGTACGCAGGAGCATATTTGGCTGTGCAGATCATTTTTGAAGTCTTGAGTACTGTTTCTTTACAGGGTTAGCACATTTGTTTCTCAAATACTCTCTTTCCATGATTGTCAAAAGGAGCTGAGCATGTGCACTTTTTAAGGTCTTATGTGACCACGTTTTATTTTAATTATCTATACAGGCATTCTGTTTCAGTTTGCAATGATTTTGAATTTATTTTGATTTCCATGTTTTTCTAACCTTGCAGATTATCGGGTTCATGACAGCAGTGGTGTTTTTTGCTCTGATGCGACAAGCCCATGCCTGGGAGTTTGATTTGCCCCTCCCATCCGTTTTGATGGCCATGGAGATGAACTTAAGGACGCCATTTCCATTCCTTATGTTTGCCATATTACCAATCTGCATGTTCTTATTCCTATCATTGCTAGCAGCCCAATCACTTCCTTCAGTTGCCACCTTTACTGTGGTGTCGATTGTCTGTTATGTCATTGCAAATGGATGTCTGAGCATATTGATCTTAAGCTCCCAGTCTGTTCTCTATCTTGCGGCCTCTGTACATATTTTCATCAAGAAACGGTTAGTATGATCTGTAACCTTCAGAGTCTAATCAGCTAAGCACCACCATAAACACCATGTCGTCTCTGTGTACGTCTCAAAAACTTTGCAGCATTTGAACGAATAGAACCTCTGGAACCTTTTTCATGCCTATGCATATATTTCCCGCGTTAGTCATTACTATTTTATTGACTTTAATAAATCATGTGTCTGGCCACTTATTGTCCGATACGTATCTCGTCACTGGCATGGAAACATGTTATGAGATCATATTGTTACACAATTTGAGCGAATTATTCTATGTTCCTGTGTTCTTAAGTAGAAATTGCTCTGATCCTCATATATTGTCCTTTATTGGAGGAAGATAAGTGTTCAGACTGCATCTGCACTGTTTCCTGAACTGATTTATTATTGTGCTACAGATGGCATGGATGGGAAGAAAGTTATCGCTTCATCTTTGTTCGTCACGTCTTTAATTTTTCATCTGCCTTATTTTCGTTTAAGGTAAAGCTTGGTGCTCACTCATTTCATTAGCTAACAAAATTACAGCCACATTTTCGTCTGAATTAACTTCTTAATATTGGCTTCTCATTTTCCTTAAAGAATCTACTTTTGAGGATGATCAAATCGATTGTTGCAGTATTACTTTTTTTTTTCGTACATCTCAACGCTTCATTTATCATCATTTAATACCAAAATTGGCCCTGTTTGTGGTTTGATCTTTTCTATTCATCAACAGATTATGCGGGCTCTCAAAGGCAACCCTGATGCCATTCTAGCGTTCGTTGCTATTGTACTGGTCACTTTTGTCCATCCTTCAGTGGGCCTTATTTTTCTACTCCTAGTTCATGCATACAACTGCCATGCTGCTCTCTGCAGGTATTGCTCCCGTTGTCCTTGTCTCTGTTTTTCTTAATGTCATGTGCTCATCTGCCAAGGAATAAAAGAAATAGTGGGATAAATACGTTAGATAGGGAAGAGCTTGAAGTCAAGTTCAAGAAATATCTTTGTGAAATCTTGACCTGAAAAACTTCATCCTTTCTTCTGTCTTCTTCGAATTCTACCTAGTTGAAGGCCATAGATTCAATAAAAAAACTAATCATTTCTGAGTTCAGTGGTTCTCTGTTTGAGCTAACGTGGGTCACACTTTCCATTTTGTGCCCATTTTCATTTTTTATTTCTATTCCTCGTATCCATTTATATAATAAATATTTATCTACGGCTGCTTTGGCTACGGTTCCTTTATCATTGTAGCTGAGTATAAAGAAATGCATGATGTTCTTCGGTAAAATCAACTTATGGAAATATGGTGCAGAGGATACCATCTTCTTCATTTTATTTGAAATCATGACTACAGATAATTATTCGTTAGTTTCATGGTTTCTGATTTGGGGGAAAGAGAAATAGGATTAATTTCTCAGGTGGACAAGATCACAGAAGAAGGTAGGCGTCCAAATCAAAATTAGGGACGCCTGACATGGTCACACGATCACTGCTCATTTTTTTTTGTGCTAATAGTGGAAAAAATGAGTCATCAGACGTCGCGTGTGCCTACTACATCATCATACTCTGTTTTAGCTTAATATTTGCAGCATTCTATGGTATTTCACTCTTTTCGAGTAAAAATAATTTAACCCATGCGCAAGAGAAGCGTTTTTTTCTCTCTGCTTTAGAAAATATTTAGAATTGACAATTTTTGTTCTTTGATGAGGCTCCTGATCTTCACAGTTTGCAGATGGGTCTGGCGTTTCTAAGGCCCTTAGTCCCACTGAACTATATACATATCCTGCTCTTCCAATGATGCTCTCCATGTCTATCTATGGCTGCTTTATGATTTTTCATTATCTATGTTGTTTGTTCACCTTATAAACTGAAAAATCTGAGATCGCGTTCTAAATGGTAGCTCCCATCCTTGTAACAGTTTTTTGGCGGCTTCCTTTCGCAGCGAACGGAAGGAGGTGTTTGACTCCACAAACAGAGACCCGAAACCCCAATATGGTGATGTGTTCAACCAGATCTTACCCCTCGATGAGAATCACTCCACCAGTTCGGCCTCTGGGAAGAGTTTTGCTGACACGCAACTCGAGTTATTCAACTATCGCCATGGCTTGCTCATCCTGCATCTTCTCGCAGCCGTCATGTTCGGTCCCTCACTAGTTGCCTGGTTACAGGTTCATATTCTCTAATCCCTCCTTATAGACTGCTGTAGATCTTATCAGGGTCTCTTCCTTGACAATAGTTACCCATATGCTTTGACCTAATGCTTCCTGGAGGCCGTTAGAGAGGTGCTTATAAGCGTGCCCATTAAAAGGTCAACATCTATAGACCATTACAAGCCCCAAGATACTGCCTTCTGCTACCTACCTCCTGAAGGAGCCCCCACATCCATCGCCAGACGAGCTGAAGGAGTTATTGCCCTGATCTTGATATAAATAGAAAACTCTCCAAGGCACTTTAATCATAAAAGATAAGTGTTTGAACCGTAATTGATGTATTTGGTCTAGAATTCACTACCTCACTCTAGCTTAAGTTCCTTTCTGACCACCGATTTGCGGTCAACTGAAGAATGGCCGCCTTCCTAGAAAGCCCCATCACATAAAAGGACTGCCCGATTCAGCAATTTATGTATGCTTACCATGCTCACCCTCTTCCCTCGAGCATCTTCTTCCTGCACTGTTTGCAAATAATGCAGATTTATGTATGCTTACCATGCTCACCCTCTGCCCTCGGGCATCTTCTTCCTGCACAGTTTTGCAAATAATGCAGACATATTTCCGCACTTTGGTTTATTCTGGACTTGTTCTATTCTCAATCCAGAGGACCAGAAGAATGGGTCACAGCTTTCTTGGGCTCCTGGACTCGGTGCTCTCTGCGGGCGTCGTTCTCCATGGCATCTGTGGCTGGAAGCCCGACATCAGCTCCCTCAAGTTTCACCTTCCGGGCATCCCCTACCAGGACATCGGTCTCAACGTCCTCTACCTCCTCTGCGGGTACTACTGCTGTATCTATGCCCTCGCCTCAGCTCCCTACAGAGCGATCCACGCCATGGCAGCCATGGGCGCCATCTCCCTGGTCTCCAAGGTCATTGACAGAAGCAGAGAAAGGGGTGACAATCGGTTCAGCAGATCCAGGAAGCATGCCCACAAGCACAAGTGATCGTCCACAGTTCCCGGGTGCGTCGCTTGAACAGATTTTTACTAGATTACATACATCATCAGCAGTGGAGACTATTTGAGGAAGAAGATCAAGAGATCAGGGGGGCTGCTTCTTCCTTGATGTATTGGATGATCCCAGTGAGTTGTCAACTGGAATTCTGCCCATTATTCTCTCTCTCTCTCTCTCTCTCTCTCTCTCTCTCTCTCTCTCTCTCTCTCTCTCTCTCTCTCTCTCTCTCTCTCTCTCTCTCTCTCTCTCTCTCATCACTTTAAGTTAATCATGTTATTTTCTCTACTTCCCATGGACGATCCATCCTGTTTGTAGGAGAAAAGATGGTGATCTTATAGACAATTGGTGTCAGACAATTTTTTTAATTTTTTTCTATCTTTCAGTCTAGAGAATTTCCTTTATTCATATATTTCAAGGGTTTATCATGTGAGCTAGGGTTCAATAAACTGTGAAAAAAGAAAAAACAAATCAGTCATCTATGCCAAATATATTCTAGAACACATCCTCTCTTCGACAGAGATCAGTGTTCTATAGAGAGATGAAAGGATTAGCAGAGTTTGAACAGCCATGGATGCCCTAATTTATTTATTTTTACATATTAAAAATAGTAATTCCGGAATTTTTTCATTATTAATAATTTATCTGCGGATAATTCCCTTCATTATAATTTATAATTATTTTTTTATTTAATTTTTGGGGTTTAAATTTAAATTTATAAAGAAATTATATGTCTCTTCTGATCAAATGGAGCAAAGACCACTCCTCTTTCACGTCTGTTGAAGCCTCTTCTAAGAGGCGGCTCCAGGACATTTCCAGTAAAATACTTGAGTTCGAGTTGACTTGCATGCCCCCAATTTTGTGGGCTGTTATTGACTTTCAGCACTTACTAGACGAGTAGATGCTCCCCATGGGCTCCCATTAAAAAAATATATTTGGATAGAACAGTGCAAGAAGATGTTCAAAATGCAGAAACATTGTTATGTTTTCACACCCAAAGTGTCCTTAATGGGCTTTGTTTTACTGAGATAAAACAAGTTGCAGCGACGAAAAGTTATCCCATTTATGGTAATAAATACGACATGAAGACTGAATTTCCATAAAGTCTCCTAAAGGACGTTAGAAAATAACTTAATTATTTTCTAACACTAAAATATATTTATTTGTCTAATTTCGTTCTGATGAAATAGTTTGTTCGTGGATTTCTTCATGAAATTTTCATGATATGTAATGACAGGTCACAAAATAACAAAGCTGGTAGTTAGGGTTAATTTTCCCTGAATATTCTTGTATTATATTAAAAAATGATGTTTCTTTTTTATTTAAAAATTTAATTTAAGTAGGAATATTCTTGATTGTCTATAAAGTCTCCTAAAGGTCGTTAGAAAATAACTTGATTATTTTTTTAACACAAATATATTTATTTGTCTAAATTCGTTCTTATGAAATAGTTCGTTCCTTGATCTTCTTCATACAATTTTCATAATATATGACAGGTCATAAAATAATAAAGGTATACATCTTTATTCCGTTGATTTTTATTTTTTTTTACATTCAATAAGTGTAAAATAAAAATTTATTATTTATTATAAATAAAAATAAATAAATAGCCTCCGCGGGTGTAACCCCACTCGCCAGGTGGAGAAGAAACCAACGGGTATGGTTAAGTCCTCGGAACGTAGCGGGGGAGTAGAACGTGTACGGAAGTCCTGCTCTCGGTATACGTGGCGGTAATCTGACCGAAGGTGAGTGTACCCGTTAGTTTATCCCCACATCAGCGTCTTCCTCTCCCCGCGGGCGAAACCCCCCGCGAGGAGAGGAGAGGAGAGGAGAGAAGATGTGCCAGAGGCCCAGCCCTAAACCTAATCCGAGTAGTTGCAGCAGCAGCGGCAGCAGCAGCAGCAGCAGCAGCAGCAGCCCCGACAGCGCTGGCAGCTCTCTGAGCCGGGACGCGTTGCTGCGGGACCTGAATCGGCAGGCGCTCCTCCGGGACCTCTCCCGGCAGCTTGCCTATGGGGACCTCGCCGCCCGCGTCCAGGCGGCGAGGGATATCCGGAGGTTGGCCCGGGCGTCCGTCAAAGCTCGGTCCGTGTTCGCTGTGGACGCCGTCGTCGGGCCGCTTGTAGCCATGCTTCCCTCCCGCGAGCGTGAGGAGAGGGAAGCTGCCCTCCTCGCTCTGCTTAATCTGGCCGTCCGCAACGAACGGTAGGTTAGGCGGCGCTTCTTCTCTGGTCAATTTTCTTCAGGTCCCCCCCACTCACATTGGGGATTAATTCGTTTCGATTAGCTACAGCGAGCCATCAAATCTCGAAGTTTTACGTGTTCCAAATGAGGTGCATTTTTATTTTACCGTAAATTTCTGGAAAGATCATTTTAAGGGTGCAAATAATGTGTTTCAAAGGATTTATTGTTCTTCTATTGAATATCACCCGCTTGATTGCTGGTCGGTCTTGTTATTTGCTCTCTCTTAATCACAATGTTAAATCTATTTATTAAATAATGTGATTTTTACCACTCCACTTAGGATCCCATCTTTCTTTCTTACATTGCAGGATTTCTTATAATTTGTTGAGGATCAGCCCACAGATAGCCGTCCTGTTTCTAAATCTTCAAATGTCTTTCTTTCGAAAAACTTGTGAAAAATACAGTTTTCGTTGACATAACTTTAGGCTTTTTATTCACTAATCTCTGTTGCGCTTTGTAAAAATTATTCTTTATGTTATTGCATTAACATGATAATTGCGGAGTCCCCTTGACTGAAGGTTTGGTGAATTACCCTAAAAATCGTGAGAAGATCATTCGAAACCCAAACATTGGTCGTGGATGTAAGACGTCTCTCCAGCATGAAATATCTCTAACTATACTGTGGGCTTAAAATTTCTTGCTAAAGCAATGTTTGTCACAAAAACTAATGACCGCCACACTCTAAATGTCTTGCTTCCAAAGAGGGTTCATTGAATCTTCTCATATTAATTAGTATCTTTGGTCAAATACTTCACTTGATCCTCTATGAGCTTTCAGTTTTCCATTCTATCTCCAAAAATCTTTTGCCCACAACAAGATTTTGACTGTGGTCTTCTCTTTGAATTTTTTTCTTTCCAGAAACAAGGTTACAATAGTGGAGTCGGGTGCTGTGCCCCCTCTCGTAGAACTTCTAAAATCCGAGAGCAGTGGCTTGAGGGAGCTGGCAGCTGCTGCTGTCTTAACACTATCTGCTGCTGAATCAAACAAATCAGCCATTACAGCCTCTGGAGCAGCCCCACTTTTAGTTCAGGTGCTCGTCAATGGAAGCATCCAGGGCAAGGTTGATGCTGTGACTGCATTATACAACCTTTCTTCTAGCAAAGAAAGCCTGGACCCAAATCTCTACGTTGAAGCAGTGACTCCTCTACTGACCCTTCTAAAGGAGTCCAAGAAATATTCAAAGTTTGCTGAGAAAGCTAGCTCGCTCCTTGAGATTCTGTCAGGCACCGAGGAGGGAAGATCCGCCATCTCAGATGCTGAGGGTGGGATTCTGACGGTGGTGGAGACTGTGGAGGATGGTTCTTATCTCAGCATGGAGAATGCTGTAGGTGTTCTCCTTACACTGTGCCAGAGCTGTCGTGAGAAGTACAGGGAGCGTATCCTTCAAGAGGGAGCCATCCCAGGCCTCTTGAGACTAACCGTGTACGGCACAAAGAAGGGGCAGGAACGGGCTCAGGAGCTTCTTGAGCTGCTCCGGGATGATCGGCCAAAGAGATTCACCTCAAAGGCTTTGGAGACCATCGCTTTTGATATAGCCTCAAGAATTGACGGCCCTTCTCAAGCATCTGAAACAGCCAAGAGGCTTCTAAAGGACATGGTTCGACGGGAGATGGAGTTGAGCACAAGCCGTCTTCATCTCAAAGCTATGCCCCAGCCCACTGCTGCGCCCAACTGACGGGACAGGGCTCAGTCAGAAACCCTTAATTTGCAAGGTCATCATTAGAAGTCCCTGAGCCCAGAGGATTTGAAAACTTGGTCTCATGTAAGTTAGCTGGTCTGGGTGCTAATATTCTTCTCAGCACCCCCAACTATGTCATACACACCTGTAGCGTTTTAAAGCTGCGCTTGTATATCCCACCCAGATGTTATCTCTCTAAATGCGGTTTGTGACTTGCGGTACTTCCTTTCCAGGTAAACGTAGAAAGCTCTGTGGAACGATTTCCTAATCCTCTCTCTCTAACACTTTTGTATCATCTATAGCTTGAGATTTTCTGTTTCAGGTTCAGTTGGGATATCTAGTGCGAGAGTCAACTCATCAGGTGCCTTTCCTCATTTTCTGGAGTTGGGTTATCTTTCTAACTCATTAGTCCTGTGTAAGTAGAGAAGTCAACGGAGTAGATTTTCTCCATTGTGTTATCAGAAAATCGTTCTCTTTTAAGAACAAAAAGTTGACCCACTCATTAAAAGTTTTACAAAAAAATTATCCAAGATTTGTGTCACAAAAGAGCTGGAAAATAATGAGAGTAGTTACTTAGGTGTTCCAATCCGAGTTGAGAAAGAGATCAAGTTATATAGGATGCTACGGTTTTGTTGGGAATCAAAAAAATAACTAAAGTACTAATCAAGACTATGGTGGCAGGCGATGATGACATTGGAAAACCCTCATGATTGGTGATGGTGAACAGTGGTGGGTTGTGTTGTAAAGAGGAAAGGAGACCATTTTTTTGTGTGTTGAAAACTATGAAGGAATATATCAGCATGTGCCGTGACGAGAAATTGCCCAACATAGGAAGTACTTCATCTGTAAAATACTTATTATAATATAGTTCTTATACATAAATTTAGCTTATCATCCTATGAAGAGGAAACACATTTGGAGACTGTCCGATGATCAGAACATGCTTTTCTTGTCAATGTTTTAAAACTTCCAAATAACTCAATTTTGTGTATCCATTTGATCCCATGCTAGGCATTTGGGCATTGTTCTTGCCTAAACTCAGAATATTTTCTTCATAAAGAAATTAGATAAGAGTTAAATCTTGGTTGGTCATTAGCATTCCACCTTCAAACTCCAAATCAATTGCCCAGATGTTAGTTTCTATCATCTCATCTCTATGGTCAATATCATCTGAAATAGATGCAGATACATGGGACAATTAATCACAAATAATAAGTAAAAAATATAAATCAGCAGAGTGAGCCTATAGCGAAAGCACACTACGTTGATCCCTTCGTCAGATTACTCAAATTCCATCCCTGAAAATATGATCATTCCTCATTGAAAGCAACAGGGTGATGTCAAGCTTGAAACTCCCTGTAGCTATCATCATATCAGATGATGAGGATAGCTCCAGAAGATGTAATATGTGTCTTGAGTAGGAGCAGAAAGATTCAGGTGAAGAGGGGTTGATGGCTAGTGGAAAGTTGGGTTGCATTCTTGACCTCACACCCTTTGTTTTCTAGGCTCACGATGGGTAATTATACGTACACAAGCCTCACCCTCTCCCAATTAATGGCACTCTTCTTTCACTCAATTTGGTAAAAACTGGTTTTTTTAATGCGTTAAATAAATGCCCAATTATAAGTGTAGTCCTCGTGCATGTGCCCAATTTTCCACCAATATTGGATTCAAGAGGGAATAAATTTGGAAAAAAATAATTCGGATACAATTATTTAAATGAGAGAGGTGACTCTTGGATCTCCAAGAAAACATGAACTGCTTACAATAATTGCTAAAAAAAGAAAAGAAAAGAAAAAGACAACATATGCAAAGAGAATAATTTTATGTATGTGTTGGAAAAGAAATAGTTACCTAGAAATATTGTAGTTTTACTAGTTAGGCCTTGTTAGATTATGAATACTCCTTTCTACATCAATCTCTCCCACTTGAGAAGAAACTCACCCTAGACTATTCATGTCCTAGTGAAGAGTGTTCTTAGAGATGTGCATTATTAATTCTCATAGAGCCAGCATTGTTTATTGGTAAGTCAACAATTATAAGATATTTCCTATAAGATACAAGGCAAGCCAATGTCATGTCTAACAACCATCTCAAGTCAACCATCCCTTTGACAATGGGCAGGGCTGTCAGAAGTATATAAATCTAGTCATGGAGCTTCTCTAAGAGGTGAAGGCATGGAAAGATCAGGTATGCATGTGGCTCTTCACATTCTCTTAAGGAGGCTAATAGTGCCACTCTTTGACAAGTTTTAATGTGCTCAATTAATGGTCCAAAAAAACATAAAAAAAAGAAAGAAAAGTCAGATACCAAGCTTCCAAAAACATAGTTGAATTGACTGACTTCAAATTGCAAGCCCATTTTTCATGCTTCAAATAGATTAATTAATCTAACAGAAAATAATCAACCTTCTTCTTTGTCCAGTTGCTCTTATTTGCAGTTGACCCAAATTGGAAACATTTCATCAAATATTGCTCTGGTTGCTGATATATTTATTGGTTGGTTGATGGGCTCCCGTTGATGTGGTCAAGGACCTGGCTTGTTGACTGCATGTGCAAGACCCAACTTTTGGTCTCATTGGTTGAGTCCGCCGTGAAGTGAGATCGCATGGATTGGAAGAGGACATAAAGAGGGAGAGAAATGGGTGGAGAGAGAAGGAAAGAGGAGTGAGAGGACAAAGATGAACTTGATGAAGACGAAAGTAATACAAACTAAGACTGCCGATCTTGGGGTCGCCGATACGAGACGGTGACTCTTTTGCTCTCAGAAGAGTTCCCTCACACGATTTTTTCCTCCCCTTCCTAGCAGTCATTCTTAGTTATTTATAGCTGTTGTGTGCCTTGATGCCCTTCCTCCTCGACGGACTTGGCGTGAGACAAGATCTGTTGATGTTAAGTCCCATCATTTCAGTAAGTTTGTCGTCGAATCCACCCATTGCCCTTGATGTCTGTCTTGTAAGATCTGCTGTCTCGTTGCCCCCGCTGATGTCGGGTTCTCATGTACCGTTGTCTTGTGTTTGTTTCTGCCTATCTCGCTGAATTGGGCTGACTTTGTTGAGGCTGCATTCTCTTCGGCTCAGTTCCTAATGTAGGGGTCTCAACATTGGACATCAAATAAATTCGAGAAATTAGTGTTGGACCATGTGATGCTCTCAAAAGTGCAAGGGTTGTAAGACCATAGAATTCAGATTCGTATGCACTTAACTTCATTCTCCACTTAGTTTTTTTAATATAAGTCTAGTAGATGCCTCTCTTCTGATAATTTCTCATTTATCACTAATTAGGAACTTGCTAGAATTGTTCTATGGGCTCCCAAAGTAATATCATCCAAACAACAATTCTCAAAGTGGCCATAAAACACAAAAAGAACAAAACCTCTGCAAAATCTGACTAAATATCTTCAATAGGAGAAGAAAGGTAATACTTGTAAGAGAGAGAGAGAGAGAGAGAGGAAGAAGGTATCAGGCTTACGATATGTGGACTTGTAGTCTAACCCTAGTATGATCCCTTGGTACTTACTTATGCCCCATATTTCTCCTATGAGTTGAATTAAATGTAGATTTGATTATCCTAAATAAACTCAAATTATCTAAGATAGAAACATTCGCATGATGCTATGTACATATGAGCCAAATCTTCCCAAGAAGGAAAATGTTAACCTATAACATCCTCTATGTTGGCACCAAGTATGGGAATTGATAGTTGTTCACATTCTCTGCCTTCTTCACCTTCTCTAATGGTTGCTTCATTGATCTTATATCCTTCATATTAACATTGTTTGATATATGCACAACTTAGGAAATACCATGCTAGTAACACTAATTAGGCATATCATACTTCCCATTAATTCTCATTAAATCACGATTTATCCCAGTTAAATATCCTCATCAAGATCACAATCAAGAAATGTTAGAGGACCCAAGAGAAGAGCATCAATATGGATAATTGATCGTTTTCTCTTACATAAAACCTGCATTACTTTGCTTGTTTCCCATGGTTATTGGATCAAAGTATCCCAGGTTTTCTGGATGTGGGCCTTCTGGACCATCACCAGACCGGCCCATTCACAACCCCAACCCCAAAGGAAAAAGAAAAAAAGAAAGAAAGAAATTGTCAGTCCAACATGGGCCCTCTCCATTTGATTAGTAGTATAACTGATGCTGTTCTCCAGAATATTCTCTCGTGAGCCACGTAGATATCAAAATTTGACTACATTACCCCCCAATTATCTAACGAACGACCATGTAATGCCATTCCTTAGCATTGTTATTCTCAACTATGGGAGCGCCCGGTCATGCTGAACAGTGGTGTTTGTGAAGATATATTAAAAGATAAGGGTATTTTCATAATTGTCACAGTTGCGTACCTGTGAGTAACGCCCGGGATGTCTTCGTTGCCCATCGGAGAAGAGCAACCGAGACGGCGGCGGCGGGGAGAGTCAGCAATGGCTTCGAACGGGGTGTGCGAAGCTGCTGCGTCGTGTAGAATCCTCTGCCCGAAGTCTGCTAGAGATCTTTTGGATTCTGTCGACGTTTTCCTCTTCGACTGCGACGGTAGGCTTAGCAACCCCTTCTCGCGTGCCTTTCCGCCTTGTTCAGTGTCCAAGTGATTTGGCTTGTGTAATCGCCTGATCAGACTCGTACCATTTGTGTTCATAAATTCAGGGGTTATATGGAAGGGAGATCAGCTCATTGATGGGGTCCCGGCTGCACTACAGGTTCTACGATCGATGGTACTGAGAGATTTCGCGATTGATACTCTGAACACACTTTTTAGCGTATCCAATTGTGATCGTAATTCTTGCGTGCAATGTCTTCGTTGGGTCGTGCTGTTCGAGTTGTATTGATACGTTTGCAGGGGAAGAATCTGGCTTTCGTCACAAACAACTCAACGAAATCACGAAAGCAGTATGTGGATAAGTTCCTGGGGCTAGGGCTATCTATTAGTGAGGTGAAGCTTTTAGAAAAACAAAATTCCCTCCCAGCCATTATATGGCTGTTACGGAGCTACAATTTAGCTATTTTATGATGCATTTCAATCACAGGAGGAAATATTTTCTTCATCTTTTGCTGCGGCAATGTTCCTGAAAATGAATAACTTCCCTCGGGATAAGAAGGTCAGATTTAGTTTTACATGGCCATATCTTTCTTCCTTTTAAGTGCTTGACTGTTTAGAGTTACATTCGATACCAGAATGTGGGTGATGAATACTACATTCAGGTGGCAGCCTTTCCGCTTGAATCAAATATCTCATCATCAGTCCAAATTATGCTATAAAAGGGCTGCTCTTGATGATTTTTTTACATCTATTTGATTTTCACACATTCCATTATGCTCAATTTGGAGCCTTTTCTAGGTATATGCCGTTGGGGAGGATGGGATACTCGAAGAAATGGCTCTCGCCGGTTTTACATGCCTAGGAGGCACTGTAAGGTCTCACTGGTTGGCTTTAGTCTATTTAAATCAATGGAGTTATAATATTCATTTTTTTCGCCTGCAAAATGGTGAAACAATCCATTTCTTTTTCTCTCTGTGTGTGATCAATATCTGAATAATTATTTGAGATTTTATTCTGTCAATATTAATAAATCCCTAACATTCAAAAAATCCTGATGAACCTTTGGTTTCGCTATTCCATCTGCTCCAATGAATGAGGAATGGAACAGACCGCTTACTCTTGTTCTCACTCATGCATACTTTGTTTAGGAAGACTCATCACCTCACTCACTTTTTATATTGTCGGCGTTTTATGCAGAAAGATGGTGGCAAACAGATAGAGTTCAAAACAAATTTTAAATTTGAGCATGACGAAAATGTACTCATCTACCTACAAGTTTCCTTTCTATCGGAGTATAACCTCCAGACTTCTCTAATCACATTCTGAAATAGGCTCAAGACTTAAAGATCAAAATTTTTTTTCCCCTCTTAGGTTGGAGCTGTCGTTGTTGGACTTGACAAGTACATCAACTATTACAAGATACAGTGAGATCATTGTCCTTTCCAACTCCGGTATTCTACATACGACTTCAGATCTAGCTGGCTCTTTGATAGTTCAAAGGATGAGAACCATTTATTCTCTCAAAATGCAATCAACAATCAGAATATACAGTTTTTTCTCTTCCCTGCATTTCGAAAAGCGCACATAGTTTAGATCTGAAAGCATCAAATAAACGTCTCATTAACCTTGTGAGGCGTTCCATTAGTTTCTAAGCATGTGTGCTCGTGGTTGCGCTCTGCTTGGATTGAAAACTGCTAGGTAGGTAGTCACAGTGGTTCAATAAATCAATGAGCTCATAGAAACTTTGAGCATTTCAGCCTTCTAAATATACCTTTCTCCCAATATTTTTCTCTTAATATCTGAAGGTATGCAACCCTGTGCATCCGTGAAAACCCCGGATGCCTTTTCATTGCTACGAACTGTGATGCTGTTGGAAATTTAACAGATTTACAGGAGTGGCCAGGTTATTTCTAACTTTATTTCCTTGGTTATGTATTCTCCGATGAACACTTCCTTGATGAGGTTCAGAACTTTGGATGCCCTGACGACAGGTGCAGGCTCAATGGTTGGTGCCATCTGCGGCTCAACACAAAGTGAGCCTATTGTTGTTGGAAAGCCGTCCCCCTTTCTCATGAATTTCTTGCGAGAGAGGTACGTTACCTTTGTAATTTGTATTTCATTGAAGCTCTGGAATTAATTTACCAAGAACTTTGGTTTCTGGCCTAATTTAATTAAACAGGATAGAAAGCGTGTCATGAAAGAAAAACTAGAACTATAGTTATTTGGTAGGGGGGTTAGCTTCAATGAAATTCAAGCAACACATTCCTAAACTGTTTTGATGTATATATCTGGCATAGAAGCATTTGGGCCTACTCTAAACTGCTTTGATCCCACCCTTCTTGATCTACAGCGGCTGTATCACTGAAAGGATCTAAATTTAGGAAATTATTTGCAAATGGGCTCTGAATGAAAATGTCGATTTTTTTTCCTCACCTGGTCTTTATTTTCCTCAGATTTCGGATCCCGACCTCAAGAATGTGCATGGTGGGCGATAGATTGGACACCGACATACTCTTTGGTCTGAATGCCGGCTGCAAGACTCTACTTGTTCTTTCAGGTTTTCATATATTTTCCATATCCCATTGTAACGGGTCCATCTTTCATCAACTTAGAGTATTTCATGCCTAATTTAATCACATAATTTCCGTGTTTCAGGTGTGACCACCTTGCCAGCCCTTCAGGATCCTGCCAACAACATACACCCGGATTACTACACAAACACAGTTTCTGATATCATCAACAGCTTGGCGATTTGACCCAGATACTAATTCATATGTTCTCATGAAAAACAGGCAATTTGAGCATGCAGAACCAGATAACTTCCAGTGAGCACTCGCAATTCGTAAAAAAGATTAGGGTTTCCATTATTGGGCAGACCTAGCAGTGTTCTGTATTGGGATCATTTCATTGCACAATAATTCCCAGTGAGCGCCGGCGCTTCAGGGAATAAAAATTAGGGTTTCCGTCATTGGTTTCGTCGGTTGATGAATCCATTAAACTGGGAACTCCCACATGCAAAAACAGGAGCCTGGTTTTCATATTGTCTGGCTTCATTTAGAATGATTTGCTGCACCTTGTGTTGATCCTATGAAATAATCATCTGGGCGGAAATCCGAATAAAGTATTCGGATAATGTATTTTACATGATGCAGGCACACGTTGTTTTATTTTCCTAAAATTTCTATAATTTTTGACAAACTGTACTGCCTCTTCTTTCAGATCTT